GATGCAGATTCCATGATCAGCTCAATTATCATGTGCAGCTTCTCTGACAGGCTGCACATGGAGTATTTTGCCAAACACAGCAATCAACTGGTACCTATCACAGTTGAACTGTTCGACTGGGCAATCAAGAAGTGTATGGTACATTCTGCAGCTAAAGAGTATCAGCTCCTCGCTGCCACTTATGCCCTCTGCTGGGATCAAGTCAGAAGCCATGTGTATGACTTCCTAGTCAAGTGGGAAGCACATGTATCAGAACTCCATGCATATCTGCAGGATCCCTGGACACCTGACTACAGGTACCAGACACTCAAGCACACTCTCCCCTTGGACAGAAATGCTCTTTTCAATTCAGTGTTTATATTGCATGAACAACTCAATGGAAAAGACCAAACTGCTATGAGTGTTGCCAATGTTCTACATCAATGCTATGAGCTCGCTGCTGAGAGTGCCCCCACCCACATACTCTCCACTACTGAGGACTCCAAACTAATCGCTCTGCAGGCAGCTACACTCATCAATTGCTGGGCATGTGGTGAACTCAGTCATGCAGCCAACTGCTGCCCAGACAACATTTCACATAGCCAATGGAAATGTGACAGAGTTAAAGTTCCCCCCAAGAATCATGCCAACACGTGCATTGTGCCACTGCTTGAAGATGCTCAAGAAGAGTAGGATATGGCACTGGCCCTGGCATTCTTCACAGAAGTCAAGCTGGCACCAATTGACCTTCCACCCCAGTTTGTGCCATTCATGTTTGACTCAGGCACATCATGCATTATGGTCAACTCCCTACGACTCAGAAAGGACTGGAAGGGCATTAAGGATTCGGTCGGAATCACCACTGCTGACGGTGGCAAACTCTCAGCCATGAAGATGGGCAGGATAGTAAGTCTCTTGAGCTACAATGCCAAGCTGCATTGCTGGGAATGAATGACTTATTGAGACTGCTTATTTGTGCCTGATCTAGTGACAAATCTCATAGGGACAAAGTCGGTCACACAGGCTAAGGGCATGGTGACCTTTGAGGATGAGCTCATCACCATACAAGACAAGTATGGCCATATGATCAGAGTGCCAACCAGTGGGAATGGTTACCCTGCAGCTGCCATGATCATATGGGATAACAGCATGCCAGAACCTTCTGTCTCCCTTGCATTTGCTGTGACAATGGCTGATACAGCACACTCACCCAAGCCATGCAGCAAAGCTGACTTATGGCACTGGAGACTTGGACATGCCAGTCATGAATCAATCTTGCATACACATGCAGTGACTCATGCTCACGATATCCTGGCAAGCCCCACCACTCAATCTGGAGTCCTCTGCAATGTTTGTGTATGAAGTAAAGCCATTGCACACAATGTCACACACCCCTGTCATACCACAAAACCGCTTGAACTAGCTTCAATGGATGTAATGGGTCCATTACATGGTAATGCTAAGTTAGTATACATACTCATTATTCATGATGCCTTCTCTGGTATGATCTGGGTGCATGGTCTTGCAAGCAAAGGTGCAGCATCCCAAGAGGCAACATGGTGGCTGGAAGAGGTGAACTCTGTTCACAGACTCAAGGAGGTTCATGTAGACCAAGGCAAGTTATGGTCTACTTCCTTTTGAGATGCTTGCTTGTCGAAGGGAGTGAAGATCACTGCATCCCCTACTCAACAGCACACTGACAATGCCTTTGCTGAGCGGGCAATCCAAACAGTCCAGAAGATTGCCTGAAGTCTGCTATATGACTCAGACATGGATGAGCACTGGTGGCCTCATGCAATGACACAAGCTGTATTCATACACAATCAACTAGCAGGCACTACATGAGGGCACATCACTCCATTCGAGCTCTTCTATGGCAAGCAACCAGATCTATGCAACATGCAATGATTCAGTTGTACTGCCTATGTTGTACTCAGAGGCAGCACTTGATCGATGTGGCTACAACATCACCCCATCATCAGCAAACACCTTCACCCCTGCACTCTCAGAGGAGCATATCTTGGCTTCTCTGATGCCCCATGAAGCATCAAGGGCCACAAGGTCTGGCTTCCTGAACTTGACTGAATTGTCGTTGCCAAGGACATCTGGTTCTCTGAACTCGAGCAACTGGGGGCTGCTAGACCACCTTCTAATATGCCTGTACTTGCTGGGAACAGCCCACTTCTCCAGTCATATACTTGGGTACCACATGATGATGCCTCCGAGGAACCAGAACCCAATGACATCACACCACCCACTGTGAGGCCATACTCTCGCCAATGTGGTGTGGAACTACAACAGAGTCCACTCGACTCCTCCAGCTACAACCATGAATGGGACCAGATGATGTCCAAGATAGAAAATGCAGGCAAAATCGTTATAGACCTGGATGCAATCACAGCTGATCTATGCGCTGAACTGGACATCACCTTGTCCCAAGCAAAGAACAGTACAGAGGACCCAACATGTGTGGATATACTGACACTTGAGACACCTCAAAGCGATGCAATGGCAAGCATGTATGACAATGTCTCAATACTGGACCTCAATCATGCAGGACTGGTGGACAGAATAAGCACACTCGGATACACAGCCTTGGCAGCAATGTGCTCTGGCACAGGAATGATCGTGATCAGCAATCACCATCTCGATCAAATGGCATTTGCAACCACTGTTATGAATGGTGCCACACTGATTGCAAGCAGGCAACAGATGCAAAGTGCTGATGGTATTTTGCTGGAACCACTGTCACTCAATGAAGCCAAAGCACATGATGACTGGCACCAGTGGAAGGAAGCAATGGACAGCGAAATGGTGAGTATGGACAAAATGAACATATTTGAGCTCACTAGCATCCCAATGGACAGTAAGCTAATCAGTGTCCGATGGGTATATAAACTCAAGCTCAATGCCCAACATCGAGCAACAAGATATAAAGCTCAGCTAGTTGCCCAAGGGTATGCTCAACATCAGGGACTCAATTATGATCAGACATTCAGTCCAGTTGTGTGGTTACAAACAGTATGAATGCTGCTTGCTATAGTGCACCAGTATGGCCTGCATATCATTCAGCTCGATGTAAGTACTGCATTCCTGAATGGAAAGATTGATAAAGATGTCTATGTCTGAATCCTGCTGATGTTCGAGATGAATGAGACCAAAGGGAAGTGTTATAGACTGAAGAAAGCACTATATGGCCTCAAGCAAGCTGGGTGCCTGTGGCATGCTGCCCTTGATGAGCAACTTCAGGCCTTTGGCTTCAAGTGATGCCAAGCTGAACCATGTGTATACACATGCAGTGTTGATGATGCAATGGTCCTTCTTGCAGTCTATGTAGATGACCTGCTCATCATTGGATCAATCAATGCATGGGTTCAATTGGTGCAACAACAGCTATTGACTGTGTTCAGCATCACAGATCAGGGAAGTGTCTCACACATCATTGGTCTGAACATTCATTACAATTGTGACACACACACCCTCTCAATAAACCAAAGCAGATACATTGAAGGGATCATAATGAAATTTGGAATGGACCAGGCCTGGGCAGCATCAACACCAGTGACTGACACGATCAACACTCTCAAGCCATGCAAAGGGGACAATGCAAGCGCCAAGGAGATATGTCACTACATGTCGATTGTGGGGTCGTTGTTATGGGTCACTCAAGGTAGTAGGCTGGATATTGCCTTTGCAGTTGGACAGTGTGCCAGGTTTGTGGCGAATCCATCAGGGGAACACCTCACAGCTGCTAAGCATGTCCTATGATACCTGAAGGGAACCATAGGAGTGAGTCTGTTAGCAAAGGGACCAGTCGGTGGACAGATAGTCACTGGGTGGGCAGACAGTGACTGGGCTGGCTCATGGGATTGCAGGAGGTTGACATCAGGGTATGCATTTGCGATAGATGGACTTGTGTGTAGCTGGTCATCCCAACTCCAGCTGATGGTAGCAAATAGTTCCGTGGAGGCAGAATACATGGCACTAGCAGGTGCCACCAGGGAGCTAATATGGACTTCAATGTTCTTACAGGAGCTAGAACAGCCCATGTCAAAGACAGCTGAACTCCATGTAAGTGCTGGGACCTCAACCTTACATTCACACAATGGTGAAATCATCCATAATCATAATGTGCCTATCTTGCACAGCAATTCCTCTGGAGCATGAGCCATTGCAAGCAACCCCCAACACTTCAAGAGAATGAAACATATCGATATTGCTCACTTCTTCTTACAAGATGAAATTGCAAGTCGACAGCTCACAATTGCTCCAGTCCAGAGCAGTGAGAATCTAGCTGACTTACTCACCAAACTGCTAGCTGCACCAACACTCTCATACCTCTGTCAACTATTTGGACTGTCAACATTAGGAGTGCACACTGGATCAAGAGGGGGTATTGAAATTGATGATCTGATGAGATGACATTGGTTGACATAAGCAGACAAAAAGGGATGGAATGAGGGATGGCCTGATTGGGAACAAAGAATCAGGTACAACACAGTCCCACTCATTGTCACAATCGAGTGCAACATGTACAAGCCAGTTGTCATGGTTGATCATTAGGTAGAAGTACCCCCACTCATAGCATGCACTGCACACTTGTATATATATCTTGCAGAGAGTGCTAGACTCAAACCACATTCTCTTAGTCAATTGAGTATATTTTGTTCTGTCTATAAACTAGCAGTGACATCGTACTTAGACTCTCCCCGATCGCCAGTATCGGGACCGAAACGACTCAAGTTTCTTTCAAAACTAGCTTCTCCTTAGATCTCCTTGCTTGCTGCAATCCATCTAGTTACACCATTACACCGCACATACAGCTTGCGCACGTAATAACCTAACAGAACAAGACTCACATTTCTCAGCGCGTGTCTCTCTTTCTCTCTCTTCTCACACAACCCCGACTTGGGAGAATATACCAAGAGACTCACACGAACACGCTCAGAGGTGGCGGCCTTATCGCCTATTCCAATGTGCAATGAGAAAGAACAATCGCTGGAGTCTGAAGAAATATAGATCTAGTGAACGGGCGAGAACTCGAGTGGCTGCAAAAGAGAATAGCAACGAGGGAGATCAGCAAGCCATACTGTGGGACCAGCATGTGTGCAAAGGCCGGCATGGAGCATGGAAAATGAAGGGAAAAGGAAATGCAGACGAAACTTACAACTCGTGCCTGTCTCCAAGCCAACCAATCGCTTGTTTCTGTCGGAAGCAATCCCATACTCCAACACTTGTATAGACCTAGAAGGAGGCCTGCAAGTTGACAGAAGATGAATAGCATCTTGGGTAACAACAAGCTTTGATCTGCTGATGAGAGGCGGTCGAAGGCTGTTCGTCGTCGGCGAGAGGTTCAAAGAGAAGGATGGTAGAGAGGGTCAGAGTGAGCGGTTCGTGGTACGAGCAAAGGGGTGAGGGACGTACCTGAGTTCATAGTCGAAATGCCCTTGATGGGACCAGTGATGAGCATTCCAACAGCCATCATGGAGAAGATCTGTACACCTGATCCACTCATGTACAGCATGATTGCGTTCATGGGTAAAGATTTGGCTGGCGAGTAGGCTAGTTCCCAAGCTTTGGCCATTTTGAGTGCTGCTGGGTCTGCTCTTTGGATTACTGCAGTTGATGATGTTTTTGACTTTGATTCTTTCTGTTCCGAGCGACTAGAGAGATTTTAGAATGCGTTCCAGGCTTACAAGTAAGCATCACCGCTCTGGGCCTGGTTGGTAGGAAGCATACCTTTGAGACAGCATCTCGGTCAGTGAATCCGATTGGATCCGGCATGTTTGATGCTTTGGATCTACGTTCGAGAACAAGAGAACATCGAGGTCAGAGAGTTGTCACCACATAGGACGCTTCAGTCGTCAAGCGAGACCAGAGGCGTAGCGCTGCGATCAGGCCAGGGGAGAAATACACACTTTGATGAGCTTGCGTAGTTAACTCGGAAAGCCGAGAGTGGCTGTTGTTTCGTGGCCGACATGGTTATCCAAGGATGGTGGAGGTGATGAAGGTGGATGTAACACTATTACTTGCTGCAAAACATGGTCAGTGCGCACGCATGCCTTTTGAAATTTCTCGTGCGATAGTTCAACGCTCAACGCTCGCTCCTCGTCAACACGCGCAGCCTTCTAACAACATCGTCTCGAACACTTACTATAGTTGTGCTCGCCATCAAGGCGCTTCATATTGCCGTTCTACTCGATACCTGCCGCCCTTGAGCGACCACATGGCTCTTTGAAATTCAGTAGCAACTAGTTTACATAAGATATGTTGTTCAAGACGGGAGAAGAAAACAGTGAATTTAGGCGGCAACAGCGACAGCGGTCTTGTTGTTACCAAGCTGCTCGTGCTGAACGCCGTTGCCGTTGGCACGCGAAACGTCGGCAACCTTGCGCTCCTTGAGCAAGATCTCAGGGTCAGCACCAAGGTCGCCAGCGTCAGCGTAGGCGTCAAGGCCAACACCGTCACCACGGCCGCTCTTCTTGACGTACTCCTTGTGGACGGCGAGCGACTTGATGAACTCCTCCTCCGAGATGTCGTTGGCGAAAACGCACTTGCCCAATGGCTTGGCGAGAACGAATCGCTGGAGACGGTCACGTGTCTTCTTAATGGCCTCGTTAGCCTCGAGAATGAGCTCGTTGGTGAGCAAGGGGTGGTCAACCGAGAGACCGACCGACATAGCAAGACCGAACCACTCATCACGGTCCTGGTCGCTTATGTAACCACGCATGTGTGCCAAAGTGATGGACCAGGCCATGTCGATGGTGACGGCGTGACCGTGACGGAGAGGAGGGAAGGGAGCAAGCTCAAGGGTAGGCGAGATCGAGTGGCCGTTGGCAATAACACGGTCGAGACCGATCTCGTGAAGGTTAGGCGACTCGAGGTCGAGCATGCCCTTGATCGCGTTACGGCAGATGGTGTCGGCAGCCTCCTTGAGCTCCTTGGCACCAGGGCCCGTGGCGTTGCGGCCGTAAGCGGTGTTGACGAGGTCCTCGCCATACTTGACGAGCATGCTCCAGGTGTGCTTGTCAGTGCAGTGGAGGATCTTGATGATCTCGGCAGTACCGTTACGGGTCTGGCCGATGGGGAGGGTCTTGAGGAAATCAAAGTCAAGGAAAGTATGCATGGGAGCGTGGTAGGCGCCGAGACGGTTCTTGAGCTTCTTGTGGTTGATGCCGACCTTGATCGAGATGGCAGCGTCGATCAAAGCAATAAGGGTGGTACCAACACGGATGTAGTTGGTGCTGCGACGGTACGAAGCACAAGCGTAACCAAGAACGTCGGAAGCGAGACCACCACCGACAATCAGGACGGGCTCCTTGCGGATAAGACCGAACTTGTCCATGGCATCGACAAAGCCGAGCATCGTGTCCATGGTCTTGTTCAGCTCACCGCCCTTGAAGACGTTAAGAGTGGGCTTGATGTTGTGGGCGTTGAAGTCTGTAAATTGCAACAGTAGAGGAGCAAGAAAGGGTCAGTTTTACGCTCGCAAGTGCTCTTTACAGCAAGGAACAAAGGCAGACCCGCAAAGTCTAATCCGTCGCAACACTGCGTTGCAAGTACATGCTACACACACATACAACGGACAGCGCTCCGAGAGTTGCCGTGAGTGAGGTTCAAGGTAAAAGAAGAACTCACAAGCCTTGATAGAGTCGCCGTAGATCTCGTTGAGGTTCTCGTCGAGGACGCAGAGGACACGGCCCCACTTGGTATAGTAAGAAGCGAGGTCCTCCTTCTGCTGGTCGAAGACGTTGTCAACGAACGAGTAGGTGTACTTGAGGTCCTCGTAACCCTGAATGCTGTAGCCGGGGCCAGTAGCATTCTTGGTGGCGGGCACCTCAGCAACGGTAGCCCGCATGTCGGAAGAAATAGCACCACCGCAGCAAGCCATTTTGGCTAAAGTATCAAGATTGGGGGGGGTTTGTTGTTGGGAAAGCGAAGAAAGCTAACAAAGAAAGGCGATTTGCGATTGAGCGAATGTGCAAGTGGACACACAAAGAGCAAGTCAATGAAGACAAAGAGAGTTGAAGCTCGCGAGAGAGAAAGAGAGAGAGAGTGTGTGTGTGTGTGCGACTGGTTGGTAAGGAATGAGAAGATCCTCGTGCGGAGAGTATGGGTTGGTCTATATAGGAAGAGGAAGGGGAAGGCAGCTCCTGGAGTAACAATATGGCGGTGAAGCGGTCGGGAACGGAAGGAGTGGAGGCATGTTTGAGTGTTTACCTTGAAGACGAAGGATCTGTTTGTGGTTGCTGGGTGATGTGGCTTGTAGCGGACTGAAGCGTGGAAGGAGGAGACCTTATTATAAGGGGAAACGAGATTGAGGTGTGACACTCCGACCATTGCATCGTCACATGGTCACCGGACACCGTAGACGTGAGAAAGCGGCGCATTCGGCATTGGCAGCAAGAACGGTTTGCTTGCCTGAACCTCCGACGATTTGCTTCACTGGGTTGAGAAGGGTTTGCTTGGCTGAACCTCCGCGGAAAGACGGGCAAGATGGGCAATGGAGACACTTGAGCAGTGTCACATGCTTTCAATGGAGAAGATGTGTAAGCCAGCTCTTCGCCTGCGATCCAGTTGCGCTTGCCCGTGCAGCTCTCGGAAGAGCTTGCAGAGCACGTTCAAGGGCTCAGCAAGGCGACTCGAGCCAAAGAGAGGGCGCAAAGCGACAGGAAGTTGGTAAGAAGAAGCGGCAAAAGGATAAGAAGAAGGCAGTTTTGGCAGAGGCCAAGCACTTTGGCACAATCCAACGAGAAGGCAAGACAGATTCACGAAAGGAGCGCAAGAGGAGAGCGTAGATCGAATGTAGAGCAAGCATTGAAGTGGATAGCCAGAGGTGGATAGCCAGAGATGGATGGGAGTAGAGACGGCTTGATGTTGCATACCAAGTTCAAGAAGAAAGACGAACCAGCCGCTGTAAGATCTGTTGTCGAACGACGAACGAGTGAAGCGGCAGCAGCAGCAGCAGCAGCAGCAGAAAGGCAGAAAGGCAGCGCATACAGTAAGGAAAGGCCATCGATTCAGATGGTTAGTCACTGTGCAGACGGAGATGGTGAAGCGAGAGTCGATGCGAGGCCGGTTGTTTCGCTTGCTGGTCGCCAAACCAAGATCCGACTCGACAAAAAAGAAAAGAAAAAAAAAAAAAAAAAAAAAAAAGAAGGCAGAAACTCGCATGCCAACTTCATACTGTAGGATCTCAAGATGAACAAAGCGACACAAAAGGCTTCCAGGACCCTGAACATCAATCAGAGACAGTCTTGAAGTGCTGTCAGGGATTCGGGATGAGCTACATAGAGATCTGGATTAGGAAAGCGTGCAGAAATGGACAGCCGGATTCCACGTCTTCCGGCTTCGGTTGCATAAAAGCATTTTCCCTCCACCTTTTCGATCTGCTCCTCTTTTCACAATCACCAAGCGTCGCCCAGTTAGGATGCTGCATCAGACGGTGTTCGGTGGTCGGTGGTCGGTGGTCGGTGGTCGGTGGTCGGTGGTCGGTGGTCGGTGTTGGTGTTGCAAGCGAGCATGGGGACATACGCTTTCGTGCACCTCACCTCCGCACAGGGAAGGAAGAGGGGCTAGAAATCAGCGATGTCGTCATCACTAAGGATCAACTTGTCCTCTTGCTCGTCCACTGCTGCTATCTTGTGCTGTTTCTGCAGTTGCACTGCTTTCCTCTTGCCGGTCTTTTCTTCCGTAAGCATAGCTGGATGAGCTTCTTCGTCATCCTCGTTGTCCAGGAGGCCCGTTTCGTGTTGGTCCAGCTGTCTGGAAGCGATATCTGCGACCCCGGGATATTCGAATCGCATTCTTGCTAGCTCATGCACCTTGTCATCCGTTCCCGCTCTCAGCTGGATCTTTGCCAGTGCTGGCAAGATCTCAGTGACTAATGTAACCGTGTTGCTTCTCGTTACCAATGAAGCTGGTCCTATTGAAGCCGAGGCATCTACAGACCCGGCATCGGCATCGGCATCTGAAGCAAAGGAAGGATTGTTGAACTTAATCCTCTTCAAGCTACTCGCCTCTCCGTCACCTCCTGCACCGCTAGAGGATTTCAACCCGGGTGTATAGGCAGATTTCACATCTTGAACATCACCCATCATGCCTCTGAGCTTCTTCTGAACGTCCCACCAAGCCGTTTTGCCGAGCTTCTGGGCTCTCCGCTTCACTGGACTTGGCAGCGCCAGCAATGTTGCCCTTACAGAGACTAGGAACGAGTAGTAAGCGACAACGCTGGAATGCAGATACTGCTCGTGCCTCGGCATTAGCGCATCTGCAGCACTAAAAGCTTCCAATATACTCTCGCATTCCTCCGCCTCGTCACAGAATTGAGGGAAATTGGCGTGAAGGTAAAGCTGAAAGACGCAAGAATCGACTGGGAGGTCAGCCCAAAGCTGGTCGACTGATACTCGAGATTGTCGACGAAAGAGATGCGACATGTGTTCTGGCAGCCTTTCGCCGGTATCGTGCGAGGTGGAAGGAGGGATAAAGGAGCGGATGGCGGTTTTGATGTCTCGTTGAAGCGAGTTGCCTGCTTCCGAACTGTTATTAGCGTCGTCGTCTTCTGAGTCGCTATACGCTTCTTGGTTTATAGCGCGCTTGATCGGCGGACCTTGATCGTTTGGATCGCCTTCTCTTTTGTTATACAAGACGCGACCTAAAGCGTGGAAGAGAGCCAAGGAGCTTTCTCTACCAGACACAAGGGGTATGAGTTTCCTCGTAATGTTGCTCCTCTCTTCTTGCGTTGCTCCCTTCTTGCCTGTCTTGCGCCCCTTGGCCCCTGCAGCTGCATGTAACAAGCCGCGATTGATGCCAACAAACTGGAGACAATTAACGGCAGCCCTGAGATCCCCATTGGAATCTTCGGCCACCGCTTGAAGCAATTCCATCAGCATGCCTTTCGCAAGCACTCTCCCTGACCCAGGAGGAGCTTGTTCGATCGCCCTCTTCAAAGCCTTGATAATAATTGTCGGTGCAACCGGGTTAAACCTTACCTCTGCATACGCCGGATCGTTCCTAATCGCCTCTCCCAAGGCACTACGGGTATCGATAATCGAAGCAATCCTCTGCTGCCAGTTGCTACTAGACGCATCAGCCACCCACCTATCCTCGTCCTCTCTCGGTGTGCTCTCCGTCACAATTAGCAGGATGGGTACATTTGCAGAGCCACGAGAGGTAAGATGGGTAGATTGCCGAATGTACTGCTCGATAGCTGCCTGAAAGAGCTGCTTAGTCGGCAGATGGTGTAGATTGGGCAAATCTTCGAGCAGAATCAGCCTATTGCGCTTCGCCGAGCTCGGGATCTCGTCGAGAGGGAGCAGCGACGATGAAGCTGAATTACTTCTGCCATTGGATGGCGGCTTTAGGTCGAGAGTTGGAAACTTTGCAGCTTTGCAAAGGAAATCGGCGAATCGCTCGATGAAAGAAGGCGCAGGATTGGAAGGATCGAATGCAGGTTGATCGTTCTGCCACTCCAATATATCAAAGTCGAGATCGGGTGCAGTTGCTAGTGCCCGTACGGTGGAAGACTTGCCTGCGCCTGCTGGACCTGTAAGCGTCAAGACTTTGCGATATTTGACCGTTGCAGCGCGAGAGGAGAAAGCTTCTGCTAGCCAAGATCGAACTTGAGCCACCTTTTTAGGATGCACTGCCAGTTGGTCGCTGGAGCGAGGGGCAAGCTTTTCCGCCCATAAGCAGCTCTCATCTTGTTTGTCTTGTTCAGGCGCTTTTGGCTTGATGGTGCAGGAGTGTGATTGCTTCTGCTTTCCCTTCTCCGCAATCGCTGACGGGGGTTGTGCTGGGGATGGGTCAACGGAGGGGATCCCGAACGAAGGAGTGCTACTAAGCGGCCTCGAACCAGAGGGCCCTGTCGCTGGCTTGGAAGCGTCTGAAATAGAGTGAAACGAGAAATCGAGCTTGTTCTGTTTCAGCTTGCCCTTGCTGCCCGAAGAAGAGGAGGAGGGGATGGAGCTGTTGGAAAGGGATCGGGAGAAAGACCTGGATTGCTTCGGCGGCATGCCTGGCCGAGAAAGGCCTTGCAGTGGCGCTGCGGAGATGATGGAGGGATGTCCGCACCGCTTTTCCCTCTGTGGTGGTATGGATGATGGTTTGGAGAGGAAGAAGAAGGAGGTGAGGAGGCTTGGAGTTGGTTGGACCCTGACACACGCACGGCTAAAAAAGGAAAAAGAAAAAGTGGAGACACGAAAGGCATCTGAATCGGCCGAATAGTTGAGAATTCTGGTGCTAAGTTACTGATGAGTCATTTTGAGTGCTATTTACATAAGCATATATATACATGCATGCTTGGCAGTCACCTTCAGCCCATGCCCATCTATGACTAGTTCACCCCTCACATTGCTCCTAAGTTGTCATGGTAACACCTTTGCATCCCACATGCATAGCCACCGATGTGTGGTTTCATATTGTCAGTGGTTAATTGCCCTCCACAGACCCCATAGACTATGTTTGGTTCCAACATGTCTCCAGCCATTGTTATGTTTCCCTCAACTGTCTCCCTCAGCAGGGAAGCAGGGAACTGCTGAGCCACTGTACCTTGCTGTGGTGTCAGTCCCAACCCCTGCCATGCATGTTGTAATACTTCCTTGCCTACTGGCTTGGTGAAGATGTCGGCCAAGTTGTCCTTAGTGCCAATATATTTGATCTTGACATTTCCATCTTGTACATTATCTCTGATAAAATGGTACTTGGTGTTGATATGCTTCAACTTCCAATGTTGTGCTGGATCCTTGCTGACCTGAATGGTGCCTGTGTTGTCTGAAAAGATTGTGGGGGTGCTGACATCAATTCCAATGGCCTTGAAGAGGTGCCTGAAGAAAATTACTTCTCATGCAGCTTCGGTTGCTGCCACGAACTCTGCTTCCACCACTGACAAAGCAGTACAGTGTTGTAGTGCTGACTTCCATGTGACCAGGTTCCCATGTACAAACACTGCTGAACCTGATGAACTTTTTCGTTGTGCAGTAGCATCACTTGCCCAGTTCATGTCGCTATGCACCATCAGAAACTCTTGTTCCTTGTCACCATTATATCGTAGATGGACATCCTGGGTGCCATCTAGGTATTGTAGTACCTTCTGTGCTGCATCATAATACTCTTTTGATGGTTGAGTCATATAGCATGCAAGGACCCCTACTGCTTGGCTGATGTCTGGGTGTGTTCTGTTCGAGAGCCATAGGAGCTTGCCAACAATCTGCAGGTATTCCTTTCGTTCGGCTGTGCTCACTGCTGTCTCTGGGGCCAGTATGTCTTGGAGTGGTACACTGGATTTTCTCCTGCATTTGTCTAGGTGTTCATCCAGTAGTTGTTTGATGTAACTGGTCTGCCTAAGGTCCATTGTCTTTTCTTTGCGATTCCTGGTGATCTTGATTCCAAGGAAGTGAGACATGTTGCCACCCTCCTCCATCTTCCACTTCTTGCCTATTTCCTCCTTGATGCATTTGACCATTTCTAGCTTTGGAGCTATAATCAATGTATCATCAACATAGATAATCAGTATTGCAAAGTTGTCTCCTTTTCCTCTGGTGTAGATACATGGTGAGCAATCAAGTCTATGGAAGTTCGAGTGCTGCAGGAACTTGTTGAACTCCAAGTTCCACTCCCATCCTGATTGCTTGAGTCCATATAACCCTTTCACTACCTGATAAGCCTTTCCTTTTGGTACCTTTGTCCCTTCCGGCAGTTTCATATAAATGATGTGCTTGAGTGTGGAGTTGAGGTAGGCCATCATGATGTCGAGTTGATGGACCTCCCAGTCCCGCTCCACTGCCAGTGACAACAGGGCTCTTATCGCACTGAGTGGTGCCACCAGTGCAAAAGTTTCTTCGAAGTCTATGCCCTCTTGTTGTGTGAATCCTTGTGCGACGAGTCTTGCTTTATGTTGGACAGGTACTCCATCAGCATCCAGCTTAAGATGGAGGACAATCTTAGAGTTGACAAGTTTGGTATTTGGTGGTACATCCATGATTTCCCAAGTTCCCATGGCCTCCAGTCTGTCCAACTCCTTGCATACAGCTTCTTGCCATTGCTGTGCATCTTCACTGGCGAGTGCTTCTTTCATTGTTGGTGTAAGGTTTAGGGTGGTGGTGTTCACTCCCCCGATCATGTCTTCAACTGCTATCTCTGATCTGTTGTCTTCAGTATTGTTGATTGGTTGTTCAATGGGTGCATGTTGGAGTGAGTCTTGCTTGTCAAGTTCTTCGATTTCTGGTTCAGATTTGAGGTCATTTGCCTCTGGTTTGGCACTTTCTGCTTCGAGGCTCTCAAACCTGATTTGCAGCAGGCTTTGTAATTTGGGTCGATCATGCCAACCTTTGTGTTCATGGAATGTAGCTGAATTGCTCCACTGGATGGATGGCATGTGGTCTGGAGTGAAGAATTTCCATCCCTTGTGCTCATCATCATAACTGATCATGATTCCTGGTATGGCTCTTGCACCATGCTTACCTGCATGATCTTTCTTTGGGAGGTGAACCCACACAAGGCAACCAAAGACATGCAATTGTTTTGCCAAGCCGTGAGCCATCATGTGGTGAAAGTCTTCATACAGAATTTTGTTGGCATTTGCTGATGGTGTCAAGTTAAGTACATGTCCAGCAGCCATGATGGCATAGGGCCATAGTCCTTTTGGCACCGATCTTTGGACAAGCATTGCATGCATCTTCTCTTGGAGTGATCTGATAGTGCACTCTGCTCTCCCATTCTGTATGCTGACATATGGGGTGGTTTTCTGCCACTTAAGCCCTGCTTCCTGCTTCCATTCCTCTGCTGCTAAGCTTGACCATTCCATTCCATTATCACTGCGAATACACTTTAATGTGCGATCCATTGTTATCTCTGCTGTTTTGGTCCATGCTTTTAGGGTGGGGAACGCTTCTGCTTTGCTTAGGAGCAGTTTCATGTACACATAGGATGAGGCATCATCAACAACTACCAGTGCATGATGATAATTTGGATGTCCTTGTAAGTCTGTCATTAAGTTGATGTGTATCAACTCTAGTGGCTCCTGTGCTCGTTCCGTTTTGCTGCTTGCCATTCTTGCATGTGTTTGTTTTGCTTGACTGCAACAGTTGCAGTCTCTTGCATCATGCTCGAGCTGTGTGTCCTTTCCCAAATAATGAGCCTGGATTTGCTTAGTTTTGTTTCTGCTGGGGTGGCCGAATCGTTCATGCCATAGTTTGCTTATCATGTGGCTTGCGGGCCTTGCTGGTGTCATGTTATCATCAATGCCCTCAAGGGGGTCATTGAGCTGTGCTGCTAGGGAGTCACTGTGAACTTCCCATCTTTTCTGGCATCGGTTGGTCTTGCTCTTAACCATGCTTCTGTCATGTTGGAGGATTGTAGCTCCAGATTCTTCAAATATCACTCATGCACCATTTTCAGTTAATGCTGGGACAGACAATAGATTCTTGCTAAGGTTGGGAATGTAAAGTACATCTGTAAGGGGTATTTTAACATTTCCAACTTGCAAGGTTGCATCTCCTATTGCTTGTACTCGCAACCCTTCATGTCCGGCGGTATCTATGGATCCTTTCTTTGGCGTCAGAGCAATGAGTTTATCTGTCATGGGCCTGGATGCTCAAGAAGCAGGAGGGTCACTGGTTCATATGGAAGGAGCACAGGTATCGAAGACCTAGTCGATACCAGTAGAAAGCATGGTCATAGTGCAGTCTCCATGGAGACCATGGACTCCTATGGACTCACATGCAAAGGAGAACTGAGCCACATGCGAGGAGGGCCAGGCACAGCCACAAGGAGGACCAAGCTCAAGGAGCAGGCACAGCCATGAAGAGGACCAAGCTCAGATGGTTACCACTCAGGGGCTCGAGAGACAAGAGTCATAGGACACTGGCAAGCAGGTCCTGAGGAAGAGGAGCAGTGTCGAAGGAGTCGACACCAGGTCATGAGGAGGAGGAGCAGTGTTGAAGGAGTTGACACCACTCAAGAGGCACAGGGGTGCCAAGCAGGAGAGGCCCCTGAGCAGTACTCGATGAAGAAGGTACTCTCTGGAGAGAGAGCAGGAGCAGCATCGCTGGTGAAGCTGTGAAGAGGTATATAACCATGCTTTCTCATCATCATAGGCCAAGTGGATCCTCATCCACTCTACTCACCATAACTAGTTATCACTTCAGCATAAGTATATATTAGTTTCAGTCAGCATAGCAGCAATCTATCAAGGTTGCTCCTCATCGTAGTGTGTGTGTTGTATCACCACTACCTGATGTCCGAAAGCACCCATAGCAGGTTAGTGGTCTGGATATAGATAGAACCGAAGGCAGTAGTCCACTGCAGTCCAGGGATCACTTCAAGCGTCAAAGTCAACACACTGGACACTCGTGTTGATGCCACCAACCTTATCACCAACACCATCAACCTCATTATCATCAACACCAACCTTATCACCAATGTCATCAACCTCATCATCATCAACACTCACACCAGACCTTGGTGTCATCATAACTGAGACATTGATATTGATCGTGCCGAGCTACCCCTGAACGGAGTGTCCGCAGAGGTCAGCCGAAACCTACGATAGTATATACAATGAACACCACCTGCTGTCACTGCACAACTTGATAGTCACTGATACTGAGACAATAGCTGTCACACAGTTTGATAGTCACTGAGTATCTCGACAGACCGACCTGGGTTTCAGGCGCGAGACCCCTGACATTATCCTCATCATGTACCATGTGATGTGTAGCTCCAGAGTCCAGAATCCATGTACTGCCTTGATTACAGTTGCCAGTGTTGCTTACGAAAAGGGTGCACCTGATTTCCTATCCCTGCTGAGTAGAAGTTCATTCTTGGCTGCTGATGCAATTGATTGCAATGTGCCTGGGTTGCCTGCATTTGTAACACTTAGCTGGCTCGTTAGGATTTGTGGGATCACATCTGCCTCTGTTGTAGCCTTCTTGGTTTAGGATTTGGCTAGGTCCACTGGCTTGGTTGGTTATGTTCTTGTTGCTGGCAAGTCTGGTTGTGGCTTGGATATGGCCTGAGAGTTCAGCTTCTTGATGTTTCTTGGCAAGTGCATGGTAGGCATATTCATAGCTACAGCCTGGCTGTGCAGCTTTGAGGGAGTCTACTGTCTGAGTATAGAGCCAGTTGTCTTTGATGCAGTGGTACAAGGTGGACTTCTTGAGCTTTTCATCCATGCAACTGCCCAGTCTTGCTGCGTCATTCCAAATTTGATCCAGTTCCTTTCCAAGGTTGACAACATTTTGATGTACTAGCTTGATCTCATGCACTTGGTCATGAATTGCAGAAAGTTTGACTTCATCATTGATCATGAGCACTGCTTTGAGTTTCTTATACAGTGTGGAGCTGAGTTGTTCCTCTTCACCTTGTTCTTGAATGGTGTATGTATGAATACTGCTCTCAGGACTGTGGTCACATGATGACAGGATGAGGCCTAACAGGTGACTGTTTAGTTCTTCATCATAGTCCATGTGGTTGCTAGATATTTCCCCGGTGAGGATTTGTTTTGCATTCTTGATGGGCCATATGCAGTCCATAAACATGGGCTCCCAGATGGCCCAGTTGTTCTCGTTGAGCTTGACAGTCTGTGATACAATGCTGAGTACTGACTTAGGGATCTTTTCGACTTGGCTGGTATTTGGTTGGAGATTCATCATGGAGAAGGCACGCTCCAAGATTTGGTCTTTGTTCCAGTCGGTGTGAACCTCTCAGATCATTTGCATGGTGCATTTGAGTAGAGCTATGCTGTCTACTCTGGGTGGCATCTTGGTGGCAAAGTGCCTTGAAGCTGCTGAGCTTCAGACTCTTAATCAGTTGAGAATTCTGGTGCTAAGTTACTGATGAGTCATTTTGAGTGCTATTTACATAAGCATATATATACATGCATGCTTGGTGGTCACCTTCAGCCCATGCCCATCTATGACTAGTTCACCCCTCACATTGCTCCTAAGTTGTCATGGTAACACCTTTGCATCCCACATGCATAGCCACTGATGTGTGGTTTCGTATTGTCAGTGGTTAATTGCCCTCTGCAGACCCCATAGACTATGTTTGGTTCTGACACGTCTCCAGCCATTGTTACGAGTTGAGGAATCTGATTTTCTGCGTAGATGATGATAGTCTAACTACAAGCTCGAGTCTGGGCATTTCAAAGTCTTTGTAGCTCACGTGCGTGCATGGGGCTACGTTGGGAGTTTTATCCCGGCCGGGATCCCTGCTTCATCGCATCTCCCTCAACTGCCTCCCTCAGTGGCAAGGCAGGAGACTGCTGGGCCACTGCATCATGCTGGGCCTTTAGGCCCAGTTCCTGTCACGCGTGCTGTAGTATAGTCTTTCCCACTGGTTTGGTAAAGAGGTCTGCCAAGTTATCTGCAGTGTTAATGTACTTGATCCTGACCTTTCCATCTTGCACGTTGTCTCTGATGAAGTGGTATTTGGTGTCAATGTGCTTTAACTTCCAGTGTTGCGCAGGGTCCTTGCTAACCTGGATGGTGCCAGTGTTGTCTGAAAAGATTGTAGGGATACCAACATCAATTCCGACGGCCTTGAAGAGGTGTTTGAAGAACAGGACCTCTCGTGTGGCTTCTGTTGCAGCTACAAATTCTGCTTCCACCGCTGATAAGGCAGTGCAGCGCTGTAGGGCTGATTTCCATGCTACCAGGTTACCACACACAAACACCACTGAACCAGATGAGCTTTTGCGTTGTGCTGTAGCGTCGCTTGCCCAGTTTGCATCGCTGTGTGCCATCAGAAAGTCTTGTTGCTTGTTGCTGCCATATTGCAAGTGGATATCTCATGTGTGGTCCAAATATTGGAGTACTTTCTGTGTGGCGTTGTAGTGCTCCCTTGACGGTTGTGTCATATAGCGTGCAAGGATGCCGACGGCTTGGCTGATGTCTGGACGTGTTCCATTAGACAGCCACAGGAGTTTGCCGACGATCTGTGGGTACTCCTTACATTCTGCTATGCTTGCTGCCGTTTCTGGGACTGGGATGTCTTGGAGTGGTACGCTAGACTTCCTTCTGCGCTTGTCCAAATGTTCATCCAGAAGCTGCTTAACATAACTGGTTTGCTCGAGGTCCATGGTTTTCGCTTCTCGATCCCTGGTGATTTTAATCCCGAGGAAGTGGGAGACATTGCCACCATCCTCCATCCGCCATCTTTGGCCTATTTCCTCCTTGATACGCCTTACTGTTTCTAGGGTTGGAGCTATAATTAACGTGTTGTCAACATAGATGACCACTATTGCAAAGTTATCCCCTTCTCCTCTGGTGTAGATGCATGGTGCGCAGTCGAGCCTGTGGAAGTTTGAGCGTCGCAGGAACTTATCAAACTCCATGTTCCATTCCCATCCCGACTGTTTAAGGCCATACAGTCCCTTGATGACTCGGTAGGCTTTCCCTTTCAGCACCTTGGCACCTTCTGGTGGTTTCATGTAGATCACATGGTTGAGCATGGAGTTGAGGTAAGCCATTGTGATGTCAAGCTGATGGACTTCCCAGTTGCGCTCCACTACCAAGGATAACAGGGCTCTTATTGCACTGAGTGGTGCCACAGGCACAAAGGTTTCTTCGAAGTCGATACCCTCCCACTGTGTGAAGCCCTGTGCAACGAGTCTCGCTTTGTGCCGGACAGGTATGCCATCGGCATCCAATTTGAGCCGAAGGACTATTTTGGAGTCGACAAGTCTAGTGTTTGGTGGAACGTCCACAATCTCCCATGTTCCCATTGCCTCAAGTCCATCCAGCTCCTTGCATATGGCTTCCTGCCATTGTTGTGCATTGTCGCTGGCAAGTGCCTCCTTTAAGGTCGGCGTGAGGTTCAGGGTGGCTGTGTGTGCTTCTCCAATTATCTCTTCAACATCGAGCTCCGACCTGTTGTCATCTGTAGGGTCAGCGGGTGGTGCAGTGTGTATCTTGGGAAGTGGGTCTTCCATGTCGAGTACTTCCACCTCCAATTTGGGCTTGTCGCTATCTGTCTCGGGTCTAGTACCTTCTGCTTCGAGGCTCTCGAAACCGAACTGCAGTGGGCTCTGCACACTGGGGCGATCATGCCAACCTTTGGCTTCATGGAATGTGGCTGAGTTGCTCCACCGTATAGATGGGGTGTGGCTGGGGGTGAAGAATTTCCAGCCCTTGTGCTTGTCATCATAGCTGACCATGATTCCTGGGATTGCTCTTACGCCATGCTTTCCAGTATGATCCTTCCTGGGGAGGTGGACCCAAGCGAGGCAACCAAAGACACGCAGCTGCTTGGCCAAACCATGTGCCGACTTGTGGTGGAAGTCCTCGTATGGAATCCTATTTGCTTCGGTAGAGGGTGTCAAGTTCAGTGTGTGCCCTGCAGCCATGATGGCGTAGGGCCACAGCTCCTTTGGTACTGATCTCTGGACAAGCATTGCACACATCTTTTCTTGAAGGGATCTGATCATGCACTCTGCTCTCCCATTCTGGGCACTGACATATGGTGTGGTTTTCTGCCATTTGAACCCTGCTTCTCGTTTCCATTCTTCTGCTCCAAAGCTGGACCACTCTGTTCCATTGTCGCTGTGGATGCACTTTAGCGTGTGGTCCGTTGCTATCTCTGCTGCCTTGATCCATGCCTTTAGAGCAGGGAAAGCTTCGGCCTTGCTGAGGAGTGGTTTCACATATACATAGGATGACGAGTCATCTACAACTACCAGTGCATGGTGGTAGTTGGGATGACCTTTCAGGTCCATCATCAAGTCAATGTGTACCAGCTCCAGGGGTGCCTGGGCTCGCTCTGTTTTGCTACTTGTCATTCTTGCGCATGTTTGCTTTGCTTGGCTGCAACAGTTGCAGTCCCTTGCATCATGTCCAAGCTGTGTCTCTTTTCCTAAGTAGTGGGCCTGGATTTGCTTGGTCTTGTTCCTGCCAGGATGACCAAATCGTTCATGCCATAGTTTGCTCATCATGTGGCTTGCGGGTTTTGCTGGTGTTGTGGTGGCATCAATGCCCTCTAGGGGATCATTGAGCTGTGCTGCTAGGGAGTCACCATAAACCTCCCATCTCTTCTTGCGCCGGTTGGTCTTGCTCTTGACCATGCTCCTGTCATGCTGGAGGATAGTAGCTCCAGATTCTTCAAATATCACGCGTGCACCATTTTCAGTCAATGCTGGGATGGACAATAGGTTCTTGCTAAGGTTGGGAACGTGAAGTACATCAGTGAGTGGTATCTTAACATCTCTTACTCGCAGAGTTGCGTTGCCTATTGCCTGTACTCGCAATCATTCATGTCCAGCAGTATCTATGGATCCTTGCTTCGGCATCGGGGCAATGAGCTTACCCTCATCATGTACCATGTGATGTGTAGCTCCAGAGTCGAGAATCCATGTACTGTCTTGGTTGCAGTTGCCAGTGTTGCTTACGAAGAAGGTGCACCTGAGTCCCTATCCCTGCTGGGTAGGAGTTCCCTCCTGACTGTTGGTGCAGTTGATGGCAATGTGCCCGGGTTGCCTACACTTATAGCACTTGGCTGGTTCGTTAGGGTTTGCGGGGTCGCACCTGCCCCTATTGTAGCCCTCTTGGTTAAGAATCTGCCTATGCTCGCCAGCTTGGCCTGTTGAACTTCTATTGCTTGCGACTCTGGCCATGGCTCGGATATGACCTGAGAGCTCGGCTTCTTGGTGCTTCTTAGCTAGTGCATGATAGGCATACTCATAGCTGCAACCAGGTTGAGCAGCTTTGAGGGAGTCTACTGTCTGGGTGTAGAGCCAGTCGTCCTTGACGCAGTGGTACAGGGTAGACTTCTTGAGCTTTTCGTCCATGCGGCTGCCGAGCCTGGCTGCGTCATGTCATGGGCCTGGATGCTCAAGAAGCAGGAGGGTCATGGGTTCATATGGAAGGAGCACAGGTATCGAAGACCTAGTCGACACCAGTAGAGAGCATGGTCGTAGTGCAGTCTCCATGGAGACCATGGACTCCTATGGACTCACATGCAAAGGAGGGCCAAGCACAAGCCACGAAGAGGACCAAGCTCAAGGAGCATGCAGATGGTTACCATTCAGGGGCTCGAGAGACAAGAGCCAAAGGAACTGTCACTGATCAAAGGAGGAGGAGCAGTGTCGAAGGAGTCGACACCAGGTCATGAGGAGGAGGAGCAGTGTCGACAAGAGGCACAGGGGTGCTAAGCAGGAGAGGCCCCTGAGCAATACTCGATGAAGAAGGTACTCTCTGGAGAGAGAGCAGGAGCAGCATCGCTGGCAATGCTGTGAAGAGGTATATAACCATGCTTTCTCATCATCATAGGTCGAGTGGATCCCCATCCACTCTACTCACCATACAACTAGTCAATACTTTAGAAACACAAGTACTCATTAGTTACAGTCAGCATAGCAGCAATCTATCAAGGTTGCTCCTCATCGTAGTGTGTGTGTTGTATCACCACTACCTGACGTCCGAAGGCGCCCATAGCAGGTTAGCGGTCTGGATATAGATAGAACCGAAGGCAGTAGTCCACTGCGGTCCGGGGATCACTTCAAGCATCAAGTCAACACACTGGACACTCGTGTTGACGCCACCAACCTTATCACCAACAGCATCAACCTCATTATCATCGACATCACCAATCCCATCACCAACACCATCAACCTCATCATCATTAACACTCACACCAGACCTTGGTGTCATCATAACATTGATATCGATCGTGCCGAGCTACCCCTGAACGGAGTGTCCACAGAGGTCAGCCGAAACCTACGATAGTGTATACAACGAACGCCACCTGCTGTCACTGCACAACTTGATAGTCACCGATACCGAGACAATAGCTGTCACACAGTTTGATAGTCACCGAGTATCTCGACGGACCGACCTGGGTTGCAGGCGCGAGACCCCTGACACGTCATTCCAGATTTGATCGAGCTCCTTACCGAGGTTGACAATGTTGCGCTGGGCTAGCTTGACTTCATGTACCCGGTCGTGAATGGCGGAGAGTTTAACTTTGTCATTTATTGTGAGAGCAGCTTTGAGCTTCTTGTAGAGTGTAGAGCTGAGCTGCTCCTCCTCACCTTGCTCCCGCACTGTGTAGGTGTTGATATGGCTGGTGGGTCCGTGGTCACAGGAGGACAAGATGAGACCCAGCAAGTGGCTGTCCAGTTCCTCATCATAGTCGGTATGGCCACTGGAAATCTCCTCAGTGAGGATCCGCTTGGCGTTCTTGATTGGGCGGATACAGTCCATGAACATCGGCTCCCAGATGGCCCAGTTGTTCTTGTTGAGCTTGACGATTTGCGAGATGATGCTGAGCACCGACTTAGGGATCTTCTCCGCTTGGTTGGTGTTGGGTTGGAGGTTCATTAGCGAGAAGGTGCGCTCCAAGACTTGGTCTTCATCCCAGTTGGCATGAGTTTCCCTGATCATCTGCATGGTGCGTTCAAGTAGCACTATGCTATCTACTCTTGGTGGCATCCTGGTGGCGAGGTGCTAGAAGCTGCTGAGCTTCAGACTCTTAATCAGTTGAGGAATCTGATTTTCTGCGTAGATGATGATAGTCTAACTACAAGCTCGAGTCCAGGCGTTTCAAAGTCTTTGTAGCTCGCATGCGCACACGGGGCTACGTTGGGAGTTTTATCCCGGCCGGGATCCCTGCTTCGTCGCATCTCCCTCAACTTTACGTTTCCCTCAACTCGAATGAATCCAGAAAGTCTTTTTTTTTTTTTTTTTTTTTTTTTTTTTTTTTTTTTTTTTTTTTTTTGGCCTTTTTTCGAACGCTTTGACCACCCTAAAAAAATCATTTTCATCTTCTCCCCCACCGTGTGTGTGTGTGTCGGTGTGTCACAAAGAAAAGCTCTTCAGCAGGTTTTGTCCTTCTTCTTCCCCCTCTTCCCGCGCTTCCTCCCTTCTAATGTACCACTATCCACACTGTCCATCTCAGCGGCACATCGTAATTGCTCAATATGGACGCCCTAGTCCAAATCTTCACGCACTCCCTAGACCCAAACGCCAACTCTCGCAAAGCAGCGGAACTGGAGCTCAAAAAAGTGGAATGCCAAGATGGAATGCTCTCCTCGGTCTTCTCAATCGTCTCCTCGCCCCATATCGACCTTGCTGTCCGGCAAGCGGCGTCGATCTACTTCAAGAACCGCGTCCGTCGCCATTGGGATTCGGCTGTGGTCCGAGGTGGACCGGCTCTGGCAACTATTTCTGCCGGCGATAGGGATTCGATCAAATCCGTGATTCTCTCCACGCTCGTCGAAGCTCCCGCTCAGATTCGGGTTCATGTTGCGAATGCGCTGGGCACTATTGCGAGGTGCGATTTTCCTCAACAATGGCCGCAGTTGATGGATCAGATCGGACAGCTTCTCCAGAGTCGCGATCCGCAGCAGGTGTATGGTGGTTTGCGTGCGCTCTTGGAGGTGGTTAGGGCTTATAGATGGACTAATGGCACAAAAATGATGGAGCAGCTCGCTCCTGCGACACTTCCGCATATACTGCAGACGGGCAATGGCTTGCTGCGTTCGGAAAACGTCTCGTCTGCACAAGTGGGTGAGATGCTTTATGTAATACTCAAGGTTTATAAAACTTCGATGCATACCGAGCTGAGCAAACATCAGCAGTCGCACGAGTCGATCGTTCCTTGGGGTACTTTCCTCCTTAACGTCGTGCAGCAAGAAATCGATCCGAGTCAGCTGCCGGCGGATGATGATGGCAAGGAGCTCGCTCCCTGGTGGAAGGCAAAAAAGTGGGCATTCCATTCTCTCAACAAACTCTTCTCTCGCTATGGAAACCCTTCGCAACTACCGTCGGATATGAAAAAGTATAAACCTTTTGCGGACAACTTCGTCGAGACCTTCGCACCGGAGATTTTCAAGGTGTATTTGAGGATTGCAGAGGCCAACAGTGGAGCGGGCATGTGGATTTCCAAGAAGGCTTTTTGCTTTTTGTGCATGTTCTTTACGGAATGCGTTAAGCCCAAGTCTACGTGGGCCTTGTTGAAGCCTCATGTGTTGCAGTTGACACGCTCCTTTATCTTCCCGAGACTTTGCTTTGGAGAGGAGGATGAGGAGTTGTGGCAGTTGGATCCGGTGGATTTTGTAAGGGCCAATCTGGATCCTTTTGAGGAAATCGGCTCGGTTTCCGGTTCGGCTGCGACCTTTGTTCAGACAGTTGCCGCCAAGCGTACTAAATCTGCTTTCATGCCCTTGCTGGAGTTCGTAACGGAGGTGGTCAACGACTATCCCAACGGCTCCAGGACGGCCAAGGAAAAGGATGGAGCTTTTCATCTGTGCAGAGCGATGGATTGCACCATGCTTTCCCACGAAAAAGTTTCCGCCATGCTCAATGGCTTTTTCGCACAGCACGTCATCCCCGAGTTGAAGAGCGGACATAAGTTCTTGCGCTATCGAGCATGCGATTTGGTCAAGAGTTTCGACCATAACGGGATCGCTTGGACGGATAATTCGAGCTTGGAAGCCGCCTTGACTGGCGTTATGAACTGTATCGCTGATCCGGAGCTTCCTGTTAGGGTCGTGGCTGCCGAAGCCATCGGTTCACTTATCGACCATGACCAAGTGCATTCGGCTATGGCGCCCAACGCTGCACGACTCATGCAAGAGTTGCTTAAACTCTCGGATGAAACGGACCTGGATATCCTCTCACCCACCAAGAGCAAGGTTGTAGCCAACTTCTCCGAGGAGCTCCTGCCATTCTCGATCCAGCTGACCCAACAGATGGCTAACTCCTACCTGAGGCTGGTAAACGAGAATCTCGAATCTGCAGACAGGAATGCGGATACTACGATGCAGTTCGACCTGGACAATCACGAAGATGATAAACTCTTTGCTGCTATGGGTTGTCTCAATACCATCTTTCAAATCATTGCTTCTGCCGAAAGCAAACCCGAGATTTTGGAGAAGCTGGAGCAGGTGGTGCTGCCTATTGTTGCGTATACACTCGAGAAAGATTGCGTGGAACTCTTCGATGATTGTTTGGAGCTTACCGATACTCTTACCTATTACCAGAAGAAGGTTTCGCCGGGGATGTGGCATATCTTTACGCTCATCTACAACTCTTTCAAAGCTGCAGGGATCGATTATCTTTCCGAGATGTTGCCTACGATCGACAACTGTGTTAGTTATGGAGTGCAAGTAGTTCAGGGTAGTGCAGAGTATAAGACCATGTTGGTGGATATCTTTCTCACAGCGATCACTTCTGATCAGTTGGGCATTACCGATCAGGTGGCTGCTTGTAAACTTGCCGATGTAATCCTACTCCTTCTTCGCGGGGGTGTGGATGAGGCTTTGCCGCAGATGATAAAGGCTCTGCTGCCCCATACCGTGGACGAGGAGAAGGCGAAGAGTGATGTACGCAAATGGTCGATCATCGTCATTCTCGACGCGCTCGTTTATAATGCTGGTGCAACCCTACAGGTGTTAGAGGCAGCCGGGGTTACAACTCAACTCTTCGGTGCGATCACTTGTTTGCTACCCAAGTTGACTAGAGTGCACGAGAAAAAAGTAGCCTCAAGTGCAATCATCCAACTGCTCTCCCTGGAGCCCTCTTCTCTTCCAGCACCGATCGAAAGCAACCTTGCGGCATTCTTAGTCGCTCTAGCTACCCAACTCGATACTCTTCCCGAAGCGATTCAAAGACGAAATGCGATGCTGGAAGCGTTCGAGGAGGAAGAGGAACAAGATGATACGGAAACCTCTTTCGCTTCCTCTACCGGAGCAGTTTCGCTCGATCCGAGCAAGTACGAGGATGTGGATGACGACACGGATGTAGTGGACCAAGAGAACGAGTATTTGGAAATGTTCGCTCGTGAGCGCGCCAAGCTCCGAGCAGCGGCTAATGGAGAGCAGTTCGAAGATCAAGAGGATCAAGAAGAGTATCAAGAGGATCAAGAAGGAGAGGATGAAGAGGATGAATTGAGTTACGAGAGTCCGATGGATGCAGTTCCGGTTTTCGAAGAGTTTAGGCGCTTGTTGGCTAGTTATCAGCAACAGAGACCCGAGGTTTGGGCTAAGATTGCCGGTGAATTGACAGAGGAACAGATCAAGTTGATTCAGCAAGTTGCTCAGGGGCAGGATGAGAAGGTGAAGAGGCTCTAAATCGAGCCGACCTCGGATTGGCTCGCCAACATAGCCTTGAAAGCGTACTTGTCAAAGCCACAGTCTTGTCCAGCGTTGTCAGAGTGTATATTTGTGGCAAATGATCAAAGAACAAACACACAGCACTGAAAAGGAGAGGAGCGGTTTAGGCCTGCATAGCATCACCTCTGGCAGGCACTGCTGGATCAGAAGCGAGTCTGTCCACCAAGGCAGCGCGTTCGGTATGAGAAAGTGCAAAAGCCAAACCTTGTCCACCCATATCCTGGCCCGGTGGGATGAGGCCTCGTAAGGAAATATCGTATACTACCTCTTCAATTTTTTTCACATCGTACTGCAGCCACCGCGGAGAAAGCAAAAGCAATGTGAATGTTAGCAACCCTTCTGCCTTTGCGGTGGGCGTTGAGACATACCTTGAGCCCATCAAAGCGTTTCCTGAGACTATCATTCTTTAGATTCAACAGCTGGAATGCGGCATGAACCTCCTTGACGAAGGATGCTAGCCTCAAAGGCGTTCTGAAGTCGGCCAGGGTGACAGAGTTGACTGCGAGCCGAGCAAGTTCGTTGATGGCATTGATCGTTGCGTGCAAATAGTCCTCTGTGGAAAGCATGAGCTTACTCGAATCGACGTGCGCTTCGCTTAGACCAAGGATGATAGCTGCTTGATGTTTTGTAAGCAAGCTTCCCGTAGCCAAAAGATGGATGAGGATGAGGCAAGAAGCAACGTTTCGCAAAGAAAAGGAAAAGTCATCGCACCAGCGATAGTATCCGCCTTGAGGAACCAACTCGGCTAGATCGCGGATTTGTGATCTGCACCGCGAGATAAGCGGGAGCGAAGATTGGATAAGCGAGTCAAACTCAGACCCTTTGGTAGAGTGGATAGAGTTGAGCAGGGATGAGAGCGAACGATAGGTTTGGTCTAATTCCTTGCTCTTTTCGCGGATACAATCCGAGAGGGAACGATCGGTTTCCAGTTCCTGGAAGAGGGGTTGAAACTGGTTTGCGATTGCATTTTGCGCTGCCATTTTTGGCGAGTAGAGCACTTTGGTGCGTGGACGACGACGGAGCAGAGCGGTGCTCGGGCTAGGGAGGAAGCGAGCGATGAAAGATGCGATATCGAAGAGCTATAGAGTGAGGCAAGACGGAAAGAAGAAAAGCTCCAGCAGAGTGACGAGACTGTGTCACTTTGAGAGGTGGAGGTAGAATATGGAGTCGAGATTACATAATCCTGACACAACATTCCTGTGTCAACATTCCTGTGTCACTTGGAGAGGTGGAGGTAGAATATTTAGAAACGCGATGGGAGATTACATAATTCTGACACAACATTCCTGTGTCACTTGGAGAGGTGGAGGTAGAATATTTAGAAACGCGATGGGAGATTACATAATCCTGACACAACATGCCTTCTTCGAAAGCCCAAAAAATCCGGGCTTGAATTTTTCGCCTGGAAGAAGAGCGAAGGAAAGCTGAATTGTGTTGTCTCGCCAAAATGCTTCTCCACCATCTGAACCGCTTCACCATCTAACGCTCATCATCTCTCCAGGAAAAGCGCTTCAAGGATGCCTTCAAAGACAAAACGCACCGCTTTCGCTGTGGCAGAAAAGCCAGTAGTTGCAACTGCAACATCGCAGCAGATCGGCGTATCGAACTCCAACCTGGACCGGGCGCAAATAGTTAAAGCGTTTGAAGCGCTTGCTGCGCATGTTGGCCGTCGTTCTTCCAGCACTGGCTCTTCTGCTCTGCCACTCGATGGACCATCAGGAAATCTGCGTGATCCTTGCAACGTGGTCTATTTGCAAGTGACCTTGAATAGGCTCAACCCAAGATCACACGTTAAACCAATGCGTATCAACCTCCCGCATGCACTTCACACTCCAGGTGAAATCTCGGTCTGTCTTTTAACAAAGGATCCTCAGAGGGAATCCAAGGATCTTCTGGTACAGGAAAAAATCAAGTCTATCAGTCGCGTGGTCGGGGTGGCCAAGTTGAAGGGAAAATTCAAACCTTTTGATGCCAGGAGACGTTTGGTTGAGGATCATGATGTTTTTTTGGCGGATGATAGGATTGTTCCTACCTTGCCCAATTTGTGTGGTAAGGTGTTTTTTGATGCCAAGAAAAACCCGATTACCGTCGAGATTACCAAAAAGGGAGAGGCACTCAGGAAGGAACTCGACAGTGCCATCAGTGGCACAACGTTTGTCAAGAATAAAGGAAGTTGTAGTAGTATCAAAATAGGCTATCTGAACAAACACAGTGCGCAGCAACTGACGGAAAATGTAATCGCCCTTCTTCCCGCCCTATTGGGCAAGGTCAAAGGAGGATGGGAGAATGTGCATAACTTGGATGTCAAGACGGGGAATAGTGCTGCTTTGCCCATCTGGAATGCCAAGTTGGGGATCAAGACCCATGTTACTCCCAGCAAAGCTCTGACATCCGAGACTTCCGAGCTCGTTGCGGTTGCGAAGAAGGCTTCTCCCAAGAACAGCAAGAAGCGTAGCGCCCTTTTGGAGGAGGAGACGACTGAGGAGACCAGCAGTAAGAAAAAGATGGCAACTTTCAAGAAATCAGCAGTAGTGCAAGAGCAAGAGCAAGTTGTAGCAACTCCGAGCAAGAAGGATCCATCTCCACGAAAGACTCGCGCCAAAGCTGCTGCTGCTGCTACGGTGGAGAATGAGGCAGCTACATCTACTCCAGTTAAGGCTGCTAGTGCAAGACCGAGAAAAACAGCGTCCAGTGTCAGTAGGAGGGCTAGCAAGGTCAAGTAAAGCCCTGCCTCTTGCACCTTTGGCGATTGGATACAGATATGTAGATCCGTCGTTAGCATGGTTCGTGGTTCAATTCATTCCTGTTCGTCTTCAGTCTTGTTTGCTGTGGATTCTTTGAACATCAAACAAAGGGTTGAAAGAATAATGGCTACAAGATGCATTGCTCATAGCTCTGGCATTGCTCATAGCTCTGGCATTGCTCATAGCTCTGGCATTGCTCATAGCTCTGGCATTGCTCATAGCATTGGCATTGGTCATAGCATTGGCATTGGTCATAGCATTGGCATTGGTCATAGCTCTGCTCGATTGGGCTGCAACTGGATCTTAGAACATAACATAAGTGATGGCGAAAACAGCAAAGGCAATAGCAGCTACAATGTGAACGGGTACACCTTCAGCCGAAGCAGTGTGCACATTGCCACTTGTAGGACCAGCTCTCTTAGCTTCATCCAACTCTTTCCTGAGTCTAGCGACTTGGGCTTGCAATTCGTTCTGGGACAAGTTGCTGACATGGCTAGTGTTAGCAGCCGAGGCACGGTTGACAGCACCGGAAGCGGCGTTGCGTGTAGCAGCAACAGCGGCACCTGCACCTGCAGCAACGGCACCTGCAGCAGCGTAAGAGGCCTCTTTAGCTTTTCGAGTCGTGGGACCATCGGTGTTGGCAGAAGCATCCTGAGCAGCAGCAATAGGGTTGTATGTTTGAAAAGAGGAGCTGTCGTCGCCATTCGACTTGTTTGGTGCGCCACGAACGGTGGTGTAGCGTTCATCAGCGTAGAGGTGACTGGTGTTGCCTTCGTCCTCTTCGGCGAGAGGAGCGGTGGTAGCGGGAAGGTAAGCGCATCGGATCTTTTGTTCGTGAATTGCTGATTTGTTCTCCTTTTCGATGACAGGCCAAATCTCTTGGAGGGATGCGGTTTCGAAGTCGGGAGTGATGATGGTGGATTGCACAAGGAACTTGTCTCGGCACTTGGCGGAAGAAGGGGGCTCCTCCTTCATGGGCTGAAGCAAGACTTGCACTTCGACCATCTCGCCAGGCTCAATGCGGCCCGAGTTGGGTCGAACGCAGTACTGCTTGGGAGCGGTGGTCTTGACCTTGAAAGCAACAGGCTGGTTGTTGGGGTTGGAGACGGTCAAAGTTCGCTTGACGAGCTGGGTGAGAGGTCCTGCGAGATGGCAAAGGCGGCCAAATTCGAGAAGAAGCAGCGAGAGAGTCAGTGCCAAGTTGTACAAAACATGAGAGGCTGCTCCTTTGCCGGGGAACTTACGAGGAAAACCCAGATGGACGTGGGGGCTAAGTCTGTTTGCAATTAGGCAAGAAGACGTAAGGAGGGAAAACAAGAAAAGAGCTGTCAGTTTTCCTTACTGCTATCTCGGAGACGACGCAAGGGAATCAGCATTGTGAGAGGTGAAAGCTCTATGCAAGTTGCTGGAGACACCAATGCTGATGCAAGCGCAGCGCTAGAGGCTGCATATACGCACTCGACAGACATGTTTTGCGAAGCGGGGATCGTTTGACGAGGTTGCTGTCTTTTTAAAACTGGCTGTTTATGCTTGAACGCTATTACGGCTTGACGAGAGGAATGCTAGACCGCTTGCAGCCGTGGACTGAATCCTTTTCGAGGCGGGGGGGGGGATCGATGGTCGGAAGTCAGAACTTGCAGGCAAAGATGAGCGGCTGCAGAAGGCGATAGGGGGGTTGGAGAAGAAAGAAGGAAAGCAAGCTAGTCGAGGATAGCGATGGAGAGTGCGGGTTGCGATCGCGACACACACACACAATGCACAGAGCAAGCAAGCACAGAGCAGCCAACGACCAACTACTACACAGCAGCCAACTACACAGCACAGACACCCACAGAGCACCAAATCACAGAGCACCAAATCACACAGAAAATCGCCAATTCGATCCTTTCAAACTCTCACCAAACGCAATTGTATTCACCTCCACGCAGTTTGTATTCACCCGCCAAATCAACACTAGCAATACAAAATGGAGAGCCGCGTTTCTCCTCTCTTTCTCTTCTTCTCCGAGGCGAGACTACACAGACGTGAAAGTTGACTTTTTCCAGTTGGATCGCAGCCCGATATCCCTGGGAGCCTCCTCCTTGTATCGGGTAATATCGGGTAATATCGAGTAATATCGAGTAATATCGAGTAATATCGAGTAATATCGAGTAATATCGGGTAGTATCAGGTAGTATCAGGCCGATCGTCGGAATGGCCGATCGCGCCTGTGCCAAGCCGAACAGCTTCGGCCTCCCCGACGATCGAATCGTGCCGAACACCTCGGCTCTCCGACGACTGTATCAGGGAGGGATAGAAGGAGGAGGTAAGCACCTGGCCTCTATCGCTGTATGGACCTTTTGCAGTGCCTCGTTATGTTGAGACCGCCACTCTATCCTTCACAACTCAAAGACGTATATAAACAGCCCGAGTCAGTTAGTTCGCTCTCCATCACTCATCCCTCTGTTTGTACATACCCTTCGCCCTCGACATACGTAATACAACCACGCCTTCTGCCATTCCAAGTCTATCATTCACTCCAACACTATCGACATGCAGTCACGACTACAGCTCTTCACACCACATCACATCACACTCGGCACTGCTGCTTGAGCTCACGACGACTTGAACTTGCAGTTGCCTTGGCCCTCGATATACTGGCTAAAAGCACTCCTCCAAGCCTCCTGCCCGTGCTTCTCGATAATGTCTCCGTGCAGCATGATGATACGGAGAAAGTCCCACTTGGCAACTCTCGATGCTGCCTCTGCAAAGTTCTTCTTGCTTTCTTCCGCTGTGCCGCCTTCCGCTGTGCCGCCCTCCTTGACTCCTGGAATGCCGTTGGCTACACCGGCGTTTCCCAAAAAAGTCTTGTGCAAGCCAGAGTAAGGGTTGAAGAACTTGCAGAACCAGACGACACCTGGAATCCACCAAGTTGCTCTACCCGCTGGTGGGTTGCGATACTGCTGATTGCATGGCAGGTTGAACAAGAGATCGGCTGTGATGAGCGTTTGGCTGTCCCTGTGCAGGAAAGCGACATCCCGGTTGGCAAAAGTGGCAAAGTATTGCGGCACCAGTTCGGATTCGTAACCGTACTTGGTGCAAGGTGCATCTTTGCCGTAGATGCCACTGAACTTGACATCCCGTCGCTTTTCTTCGTGACCTTGCCTACCCACCACTTTGGCCGATGGGTAGGCTGTGTGCAAGTCTTTGAGGAAGAGGTGGTGAACGTTGTCTGGAGCAACGAGGTAGGCCACTTGTCCCATGCTATCGATTTTGGCTTTCGTCGGCTCGTCTAAAGGCGTGCTTGCCACCACCCAGAGCTTTCCATCGCGCATCTTGACCGCGATACTACGTCCACCGATCGCAAGTATCCCGAAACGGCTGTAAGGGTAGTCGAACGTCGTGATCTCGGGGGTCACCTCCTGGATGTAGACCGGTGTCTTGGGCTGCCTGCCCGATGCGCCTGGCTTGGATGAAGGGGACGACATGGTGTCAATTCGACAGCCGCACTGCGAGGAGTTGGTGGTGGTAGTAGTAGTAGTAGTAGTAGTAGTGGTAGTAGTAGTAGTAAAGTGCTTTGTGGAGGCAAGAGGATTTGCTCCACATTTCATGTGACGGTGTGTCATCCGCATATCTTCAAGTGACAGCGATCGATCGCACCCACTTGCTCCTCGATCCCATACACAGCGAGGAGACGGTCCCCACGGCATCCCTCACCACGGCATCCCTCACCACGACATCCCTCACCACGACATCCCTCACCACGACATCCCTCATCATGGCTCAACAACTGCCATCAAGACTGCAATCCACTCTCTCAACCCTCCTCCTTCTCTTGCTCTCGCTCGTCTTGCTACCGATCTCGTTGGTCATCTCGCTCTTCTTCTCGCTCACCCACTCCGGCAGCTCTTGCAGCCATGCTCGTTGTCGCTCGCTCGTACAAGCCAACGGCCACTCGACCCACCCTACGGAGCGAACGGTATTGGTGAATGGCGCACGGATGCAAAAATCCCTCGCCATCTGCCGAACATTTGCACGCAACGGATGGCGTGTCGTTCTAGTCGAAGAGCAAGCTTGGGGTAAGCTAGCTGCTACCCGTTTCTCCAACTCTGTTTCCTCCTTCCATCTTCTACCTCCCTCCTCGTTGCCGGCTAGCAAGCAATGGCAGAACGATAAGGGAGGCAGACTGCTTACACCGTATGTCGCGGCACTGGTGGATATCGCATTGAAAGAAAAAGTCGATTTGTTCTTCCCATGTTCAGGAGCAGGCAGTACGGCTCAAGATGCGGTTGCAGCTGCCATCTTGCTGGAAAAGACGCAGGGAAGGGTGCGGAGCATAGTTCAAACCCCCGAGCTTGTTGAAGCTTTGCACGAAAAGGATCGGTTTGTTTCGCTCCTTCAGAGCTTGCACATGGCTGCACCACGGAGCGAGATTGTCTTTTCTGTGGATGAAGCGCTGGCAAAGCTGCAGAGCGATGCGTATCCCAGGTCCATTCTGAAATGTACTGCTGAACTGGATGATGTTGGACGAGCAGATATGACGCTTTACCCTCTTCTGCAGCATGGAACGCGCCAGGTCGACTGGGAAAAGACCAGGGCAAGACTCTCGAACCTTTCCATCCCACTTTGCCCATCAACGCCTTACATCTTGCAGGAGTTTATCGGTGATCGAATTGACAACTCCTCACCCTCGACCGGTGCGAATGCGGGTAAGGCGACCGAATGGTGCACACACGCAACGGTAGTAGATGGAAAACTTACCGCTTTCGTCTGCTGTCCAAGCAACGATATGCTCATGACCTACTACCCTGCTTCGCACACCATCGTAGGTGAGCTAGCACTGCGTTGGACGATGAAATTCCTCTATCGGCTTGAAAAGCTTGGTCAATCCAACTCTTCACCCTCCTCCTCTTCACCCTCATCCTCAGCCGAACGCGAATCTTCGCTGGTTACTCCCAGCCCACCGATCCGCACAATAGTGTGGAATAGAGAAACGCTTGTCGGCAAGCACGCTCCAGAGAGCGCCGGGATCACGGGAGAGTTTAGTATCGACTTTATCTATCAGCCTGCGACTAGCCAGTTGGAGCAAAGGTTGGTTGCGATCGAGTGCAATCCCCGTGTTCACACAGCTATTTGCCTGTTAGTTGGCCATCCGGAGCTGGGAGATGCATTGGTGCCGAGTTCCCTTACCAACTCCAAGGTCCGAGCGACACGAGACCGAGCGAAAACAGCAAAACAAGTGTCAGAGATGGACGAAATCTCCTACCTCTCCTCACTCTCTTTGCCCGTAATGGAACACCCACAGTCCGTAACTTGTGCGACACAATCCGATCTAGCAGCCCTCTCAGATCTCCCTGCGACCTTTGCATCCTCTCGAATGCGCTTCTATCATGCAAGATGGCTCGTTTCTTGGGCCTACACCTCACCGCATTCCGCTGCTTTACCACATAGTTGGATCGGCCATGACCTTGTTGCGCGTCTGATTCCGTCTGCAATTTTCTTGTCCTCTCCTATAGTGCAGGGTATGATGAATTTTGTCCACCCTATGTGGCCGCAAAAAGCGATAGCTACAGCCGGAGCAACAAAAGTAACCATCCCCACTGGCGTCGACAAACAGATGCACTTGGATCTAGCAGCACCAGCACCATTACCACCTTTTACCGATCCTAGCTTTGCCAAGGATGATCCTTGGCCTTTTTTTGCGTTGTACCATCTTCAATGGCCGCAGTTGTTGGTGTGGCAATTGGTTGTGAGAAGGAACAAGTGGAGTCGGGTTAATGTTTCTACTGCTAGGATTTTCGAGTGTTAGGCTGGTAGTGTGCGGGTAATTGATATTTGAATGATGCATGAGCTGAGTAATATGGTGTTTGGAAGAAGGTGAACAGTCTTTTTGTAAATCTCTTGCTGTGGTAGAACGCTTGAAATGTTAACCGTTGGACTTGTTTGATCAGTTGGCAACATTAAGCCATTGCCTTGTCTTAGAGAAGCTATAGTCAGATTGCACATCGAGGTTGTTCTGAAACCTTTCAGACGGAACAAATAATCATTGACTTCCAACACTAGCATCACTACTAATACCACAAATTCACCAAGATAACTTCGTATTGCAAAGTCATCCCAATCACCCATCAAGAACATCGCTATACTTGGCTGCATCTCATCCTTGGCCCTTATGGGGGAAAAAAAAACAAAAACTCGTCTGGCTAAGCGTCTAAAGTTACACCTGCTTCAATTTGAATAATGACATACCTCTCTACTCTTTCCCTTTCCCTTGTCTCTCTCAGCGATTCCTCCTGCTTGATCTGCACTTGCTTCCTGAAACAAACTTTCAACATATTCCTTAGCCAATTCCTCTCTCTCACTCTCTTCCTTTTCCACTTGCAGCAGCTGCGCTAGTACTTTTCTGTAGAATCTAGCCAATTCCTCACAGTTGGAGCAAAACCTCGTCAGCTCCAGACGAAGTTTATCTCCATCCACCACTTCTCCCTTTTCTCCTCCTTGAGTGGGTGCAGCTGAACCCCTTTCAGTGGGACGGGAATGTTGTTGTCTCTGAGAACCTGCATGGAAATGCGAATTGAACAGTCTGTTGTTTAGCCACAAAAATCCATCAACACCACCCAGTACCTGTACGAAGGCAACTCCACTCCTATGAACAAATTGACTATACTCAAACTGATTCGGTCTACTACTATATCCAACTTGAACTGCAACCCCTCCATATCGACTCGTCGCCTCCTGATCCAACACAAAGCCAAACTTCCTCAGTAGTGCATACTCAAACCATAGATCCGCCAATGTTCCCCTCGGCAATCTCCTCTCATACATCTCTGGTGCTGGAGGCGGTAGTGCAACTTCAATCTGCACCGCAGCTTGAAAAGGGTTGTGCAGCGAAACATCTTTGATCTGACCGATGGGTGCTTCGATTAGACGCAGACCATAGCGTTCCAGGATTCGCGTCCAAGATTGCACTGTGTCTTCGATAAATCGTGCCGTGGTGGAGAGCCAGTGGATTTGGAAATTGAATCCGTTTGCAGGATTGTGAGCCATGTCGTGATGGAGGAAAGCTACTTCCGCTCGATCGGAACGACGACCGGGATCGACGTCGATGATTAGGCTTCGGGAGAGTTGGATTTTCTTCTTCTTTTTAGCGGGCGCCGTGCTGGGGATGGTGGTGGTGGTGGAGGACATGCTGAGCGAGGGTGGGTGAGCGTGGTGCATCGAGGAGTTGCGTGAGTGACCGCCGGTTGAGGATCGGGAGGGTGGAGCTGCAGTTGAGGTAGAGGGAGCGCCTTTCTCCGTGCCAACCTCACCAGAAGCTGAACGTCTACCTTCACCAGAGCTCAACCCTGAGTGCTGACTGCTAGAGTGCTGACTGCTAGAGTGCACAAGTGGCCTCTTTGGTGTCTCTTTCTCCGCGAAGGATCCTCGCCGACTATCGGTGCCCCTAAACCACCCGCCCTTGACGCCCCTCGATCCAGCATACTCACTCCGCAGCCTGTAGAAGTAGTGACCGTCCAAAAAGCCATGCGCCTTATGCACATGCTCAAACAGGCCATCTTCCATCAACCTGATACCCCAATCTACCGCTTCCTCCCTCGACCGCACATCCGTGTACTCTGTACACATCCACGTAACCATATCGGCACCCGTGAACGTGTCCGAGTACAACATCCTATGCCAGATCCTATCATTGATCACCAATCCACCTGACCGCATGTCCTTGACCACAGCTTCGAGTGCACGCCCTGCCAAAGACTTATGTAGACGCTTTTTGGAAGAAGCCGACTGTGCGCGCTGCCTGGCGTTTTCTTCAGCTAGCTGCTTCATGAAGTCCTCATCTTGCAGTGACATGGCTGGGTCGAGCGAGGTGGGCAAGAATCGCTGTACGTGTGTCTGATCACGTTCCTCTTTGCTCCTCACGAATCTTGCACGGTGGAAGAGCTCAGCAAGCTTATCCGTACCGATGAGTCGAATCTCTTCATCGTCCAAGTCCTCACCCGTGGGTGCCTTCATCGGCGGTGGCGACCCTTCCGAAGGCACTAACACGAATCGTGTTCGCCAGTACCTCAGCGACTCGACGAACTTCTCGTCTACATAACCTGCAATCAACGAGTCGAGGTAGGTCCAGTTGTAGCTCGCCGAGTCGGGATAGTTGAATCGCGCTTTGACTGTCTGGTATCCTGGCAAGTGACGTGGCCAGATACAACAATCGTAGTCGATGGGGTCGGTTGAATATTCCGTGTTGCGAACGTACCTCTTCACGTTGATCGCAGAGGTGGACCTGTCGTAGGAGATACGGTGGATCTGGTTGGTTACACTGAGGAAGATTGGATTTCCTGTCGCAAGGTTGCCTGGCTGAAGCAGCTCAGACGGCCATCTCAAAGTGAAGTGCTTCGGATCGACAAGCTTGCGACTCGAGACCGTACGAGCCTGCTTGCTTGCTGGCACGATGAATTGATAACCCTGCGCAAGACGGTGGTATGCCATCTCTCGCAGTACAGCCAGGGCAGGATGTGTCGAGCTCGACTTCTTCAGCAAGAACGAAGATGTCTCTGCCGAGATCGAGGTCGTGTGAGGATGCTCGCTCCACATGGCCACCAGATCGCTCTCCGACGGGAGGTAGAGGGTCGTCAACGGCAGACAAGCAGGCGTAGTCATAGATCGCCACTTGACTGCATGGTGATTCAAGCGCCTTGGGAACAAATGTTGCCATCTCAGTAGCTGCGAGCCATCGTTCCTCAAATTCTTGCTCGGATTGGAGGGATTGACGAGCGTCTGCTTGTCGACTTGTGCTCTCTGAGCATACCTCTGCAGAGCTTCCTCCTCCTCCAGCTGCTGCTCATACGCCTCTTGGTCGCGAAGAACCTTCTCTTCCGCCTCTTGCTCTTGTCTCGTTCTTGGGGTAGATTGTGCAGGAATCTTGATCGGAGCAGGACTGGACGCTTCGTGCACAGAAAGCAGTGAGGCAGTGCGTACTAAGCGACCTGGTGGCTGAGGCTTGCGTGCTGCACTACCACTTTTGCCTGACACACCGGCTTGCTGTCGGAGTTGTGCGCTCAAGACCTCCTGCATACTGCGTGTAGCTGGCGTTGAGAGATCTCCAGAGTATGCGTCGTCTTCAGTCTCGCGATCTGTGCTGTGGGCCTTTGACGGCGTCGAGCCGGTCAGGGTCTTCCACAGCCAGCTGTAGCCTTTAGCCTTGGCCTGAGTGGTTGAGCTTAACGTGCTGACGCTGTCATCCGCTTCATTTCTCTTTGCGCCGTCTTCTTCAAATGTGTTATCGTCAAAAGCATGCGAAGTAGCAGATAGGACAGCATCTGTAGGAGCAACGAGCGCCTTTGCCTTGCCAATCGGCTCCAAAGGCATCAGTCCACGCGCAAAGGTGTTGACAGAGTGAATCGATCCAGGCCGTGATCTGATGTTGGAGCTCGACGAGGTGACGATCTGTGAGACTGGCCTAGTAAGCGGTGGTCGAGAGGTTGTGGGTTCCAGCTTAGTAAAGCGTGCTTTTGAGGGTGATGGTGGGACCGAAGAGTTCTTGTCGGGCTCCTCTTCTCGGAAGGATGTCTCCCTAGCGAGTCGCGAGGCTCTCGTTGTAGGAGCAGCGGGTCTGCTTGCCCCAGCTTTCCCTGGTGAGATGGAGGATGCAGCTGAGTTAGCATTTGTGTGTGGCCCTGTACCATAGCCTGAGCTCGGGTTACGTCGCAGACCGGGCCTGTCGAATGGTTTGTGGATCTCACTTGCTGCCGGGCTGTCGATGGTCGTGGTGCCGCTCACAACGCCCGCTAGCTGCTTCAGAGCTGGAGATTTGATCAACGGAGGAACGTCTCTGAACACATCGTGGTCGAAGCGTTCGCTTGCAATCCTGCGTTGCTGCTTGGGCGAGAGCCCGGCAAGTGCAAGATCCGAGACCTCGCTGTTGCGCGGCTCAGACATGAATCCAGAGCTGGAAGGGCCCATGTAGCGTGGCAGATAGTAGCAAGATGAGACCGAAGATGCCTTGTTGACCGGCTTGAGATCGAGATAGGGTATGGCAATATCAGAGATCTGATTCTCCATGATGCCCATCATCTGAACTTCGTACATTTTGCAACGAGGAACGAAGCGGTCAGCGCGGAAAGGCTTGTCCTGCTGCAGATTGTAGAAGCTGCAGTCGATCCAATGTGGCATTGAGTAGAAGTCTTGCTCCTCTTCGACAGGCTTTTTGGAGTCAAAGTAGAGCGGATCTGGCGGATTTGCGACAGATGCGGCCGAAGTGGCCATGCGTGAGGAAGAGTGCCGCGAGAGCAATGGTGGCTGGCCTGGTCGATGTACTGTCTTACCCGGGCCAGCACCAGCACCAGCACCAGCACCAGTACCAGCACGTCGTTGACGATTGGTGGCGGCAGTCTGGCTCTGCTTGAGCTCGCTCGGATCTGGGTAGTGCGACTTGAAGTGGAACAAAGGTACAGAGTGAAGCGGCATCTTGGTCAAGCAGACCAAGTCGAGACCTGTTCCGTTCTCGATCATACGCTCCGTCGTGAGACGGAGGAGCTTCTTGTCAACGTCAAAGTGACCTGTACCTGCAGTGACAAAGACCATGGAAAGACCGGTGCGATTGAGATCTCGGTCAATGTAGTGTTGGTCGAAGGGGTTGAGGGCAAGGTTGATCGCTTCGAGCAGATTGCCTTGGTAGGAATAGGATAGTCGCCCTGCCATGTGAACACGATCGCGGATGAGATCGGCGTGAAGCTCTTCGTGCGAGGCAGGAGGACCTGAGATGGGCCTTGGGAGCAAGAGAATGTCGTGCTGGAAACGGAAGAACTCCTCCTTGAGGGTTGTCATGACTGCATCCCAATTGCAGTTTGACTCAAGATCCACAACGACCTTGTAATAGTCAATGTAGTACCTCGCTTGGCAGTCCTGTCGTATTGGACCTTGGAGCATATGCAGTTCCGACTGGTCGTAGTGCACTCTTGCAAAGAGGATTACAGTGAGGATATGATTGGTGGGTACTGCCCTCCAACGTCGGAGAAGCTCGGGAATGAAGCCTTGCAGCGCCTTTTCGTAGTAGATCTCTCCATCCTCGTCAAACTGCCACATTTCTCTTGCAAGCTGGATGAAGAGGTTGTACTTGGCTGATTCTGATCGGAAGATGGCTTTGGTGGATGCTGAAACGTAGCCACTGGTGACCTTGCTCTGCTTGATAAAGATACGACCGATGGTGGCTCGAACACTTCCGGCTAGGGTCACCTTCTGACCGCAATAGACGCAGGTATCCTCGAGGTTCTGAAAGACCCTCCACATCTCAGCTCGACCGACATACTGGTCTCGGAAGTAGAGCTCGACATGATCGATGGTGTAGTGCTGCTTAGACACACGGGTGAGGATAGCGTGGGCACGGTTGTAGAAGCCGTAGTTGTTGGCAATGTTCTTGGAAACACTGATTTGAAGCTGAGGTTGGCGAGCGATCAAGTCGGCATCGGCTGTCGCCTGTGCTGCTCGAAAGACGAAGGTAGCCTTGGTGGCAAGGCTGCGAACGCGATCCTTGGGTCCAAAGGGAATGTTGTTGCGAGGCAGCGGCGAGGCTTGGGGTAATGTGAGCTGGAGAAGGTCGGCCTCAGCCATACGAGGAAGCGAAAACTCGGGATTGAGGAGGACCTCATTACGAGACAAGTTTGGCGGGTCATGGGTCCATAATACGATGGGACGTTGGTTGATCTCTGGTCGTTGGTGTTGGGTGGAGGAGGAAGAGGAGTGGCGACGATCACTAGTACTGGTGAAGCGATCGACGCTCAGGCTGGAAGGGTATTGAGGCCTCATATCCAGTGGCATACAACACCTGCTGACTTTGTTGCCCAAGCGACGAGCCTATCAGCCAAGCAAGCTCCTCCTTCTGGACCCGATCATGACGGGGCTGAATGGTAGGTGGCTGTGCTGGTGGAGGAAATCGACTCTCCTGTAGTTCAAGGCAAGTGTGCACTTGAGCGAAGGAAGCCACGACTCGATCCGTGATCCGGTGCCTGCTTTTCGCCCGTGTCGGACAAGCCGAAGGCTGACAGCGTTTGCGTTTGCGTTTGAGTTTGAGTTTGAGTTTGAGTTTGAGTTTGAGTTTGAGTTTGAGTTTGGTGGGTATCACAATGTGACAATGCAAAAGGTAGAGGTGGTTAATGAGCATTGTAGCAAATCTTGAGTTGATCAGTGCGGATCCTTCCGACAAGCAAGCTCCAACTGCAATCCTTCGGGTGACCCGATGCAGAAGAACGCGTCGGGAGGGAACCCGATTAGCCCTTTTTTTTTTTTTTTTCCTTTTTTTTTTCTTTTTTTTTTTTCTTTTCTTTTTTCTTTTTTCATTTTTCTTTTCTTCTTCCTCTCCTTGGCTGTCACGCACCGAAGAGCGTGTTGTTCGAGGCGAATTGATTACAACAACAACAACAACACTTGCTCTCTTGACCATCACACCTGTCACCTTGTCACACTATCACCTAATCACATTATCACCTAATCACATTATCACCTTATCAGCCCCTCGGCTCTCAGCTATGGCGGTGGCTTGCAGTGCGCCCAACTCAGCTCCGACCGCTGGATTCCAACTCTCACGGAAAGGACGACTCTGCTTACCTTGCTGGCTCCAGTATCTCCTCTCACGCATCCTCGCCGCCGGATCTCGTCTGAACTTGTCTACTTCAGTCCCAGAGACTCTCGGCCGGTTGAGAGCGTGGTCTCCAAGCAAAGGAGAGCGCTTCAAGTATGCCTTTCTCCTCCTCATCGCCCTCTTTTCGCTCTTTGTCATGGAATCACCTCCTTTGCCATACAAGCTCATCATCCCAGCTCTCTACGCAACCACTCTCCTATTCCCAGTGTCATCGCAGTTCTTCCTGCCAGCAGCACCCATCTTTGCCTGGCTGATCTTGTTCTATTCGTGCAAATTCATTCCCGCTGCCTGGCGACCACACATCTGGGTATCCGTCTTGCCCACCCTCGAGACCATCTGGTACGGTGCCAACATTAGCGATATCTTGACTCAGTTCGGTCATCCCATCCTTGACCTCCTCGCTTGGTTGCCTTATGGCGTCATTCATTTCGCTGCACCTTTCTTCGTCGCTTCCTTCTTGTTCGTCTTTGCTCCGCCCGGCTCCGTCAAGGTTTTTGCTCAGGCGTTTGGATTTATGATGCTCCTTGGGGTTATGATTCAGATCCTCTTTCCCTGCGCTCCTCCTTGGTATGAGCTGCGAGAGGGTCTTGTGCCAGCCAACTACGCGATGCGTGGCTCACCTGCTGGTCTCGCTCGTATCGACGCCTTGTTCCACTCCCACGGTTACACTTTGACCTTCACGGGAGCTCCTGTTGGTGCGTGTACTGATTAAGCTTCTCTCTCTAGCCCTCTCTCTGCCCACTTACTGACCTGCTACCTTTTTTTCTTTTTTCTTTTTTCTTTTTTTCTTTTTTCTTTTTTCTTTTTTCTTTTTTCTTTTTTCTTTTTTCTTTTTTTTGGCCTCTCCTTTTGGTCACTTTAGTATTCGGAGCCTTCCCTTCTCTTCACGCCGGCAACGCAACGATGAAAGCACTCTTTTGCAGCTACTTCTTCCCTATTGTCGTAAAGATCGGTCGACTGAGGATTGATGCTCGCATCTTTTACTGGACCTATTGCAGCTTCTTGTACTGGTCCACCATGTATCTCATGCATCACTACCTCATCGATCTGGTCGCAGGCGCATGTCTCGCAACCGCATGCTTTTATACCTTCCTCACCGACGAAATGCGCGATGCGATGGAGAAGAACTACCCTTACCGCAACTCAGACGCAGCACCTCCTTCTGCTGCTCCTCCTAGCAATCGTCCCGATCAAGCCTTTGCATCGACAGGCACAGCAGCACAAGGCTCGATAGCTCTCGATACGATGCGCAGCAATGGTGGCGCACCTTATATCACAGCCCAAGGTGGAGTCAATGGTGATGTCGAGTCGCAGAAGAGACCAGAACTTATCTTCTCAATCGACCGAGAGGAAGGAGGAGATATTGCAGGCTCCACCGTGGAAGAGGAGAGGAGGAAGAAAGATGCTGCCGCTTTGCTGGCCAGGACCAAGTCTCCTGTACAAAGGGTCAGGACTCCTGCTGGAAACAAGCGGGATAACGACAATGCATGAACCTCACAATCAGGCTAACCTACGACCAGATAACAATCTAACACAAACAACACGACAAGCAGCCTTGCCCAATCATCACGCTACAGAGCAATGTAACATGGGCTCAAATACCTACAACCTTGCACTTGCACCAAACTCTCTCTGACCTGTCAAAGGTTATGCAACGAGCAGCCAAGTTTACCGCCTCCATCCCGCACCATTCCCCTCCATCCCGCACCATTCCCCACCATTCCCCACCATTCCCCACCATTCCCCACTATTCCGCACTATTCCGCACCATTCCGTGTTGGACAAGGTGATGCTTTCACAATCCCAAAGCTGACTTTGGCCAAGCTTTGCATGTGTGACGGAGCATGTTGTGAATGGAATCTGTAGGCATGACTAATTTGGCGGCGAGGCCGGATTTGTTGTCGCGGTCAAGTCGAGTGTCCTTTTGCTGTGCAAGGTTGAGGATGAGACTGGGAAAGTGCATGCTCAAGGTTGAACCATCGACCAAGATTGATCATGGAAGCAGAAAAAGATCAATTGACAAGAGAACGGCTTGGATACAACAAGAACGTAGAAGCGAGTGGGAAAACGCTTGGTTCGATGATCGACAAAACAATTTGTCGCCTTGATCCAATCCATACTTAGAGGTCGACGTTGCTTGCCCAATCGAAAACATTCGACCTCCAACCGGAACTTGTGCTCTCCTCTCTCTCCTGCTTGTTGGCCTCACGACCCAACTTGTTAGCCTCTTGCTTGGCCTTAGCACCCACCTTGCTCGCATCTGCCTCGAAACCCTGCACACCCTGCCTCACCTGTTGAACAGCATCCCTTCCACCTTGTCTCACCTCGTCGGCACCCTCTCTAAGCATGCCAACGGCTTGGCTGATGCTATCTTCGATGTTCTTGTACTCCTCCATCTTTTCCTTTGCATACCTAAACGGGCCTCCTTTACCAGGCAGCAACTGCTTCGAGTAACTTGCTCCTATCGTCAACTTGAATTCACCTTGAGCGCCTTGCACTCTGAAGCCATGCGCAAGACCGACATCGGTGCGGGGCTGTGCGGCCTTACTTCCGTAGGGCTCGAAAGCATCAGAGTCCGGAGCAAAGATGGCTTTTAGGTAAGCTTTGGTCGAGATGTCCTGTCCATTCTTGATGGCAGTCTTGGAGTAACTGTTGATAACCTTTGCCCGCTGTTGAGCAGCCCAAAGGAAACGATCCTGGTTTTGGAGCCAAGTTTTAATCTGTTCCTCTAACAATTGCTGGAAGACTCTCCTCAGTACAGGACGAACAAAGGGCATCAGGAAAAAGTTCAAGAACCAATGTTTCGTCTGTCGAAGCTTGACCTTAAACGAAGACATGTCCACGCCGACACGTTTAACCTTGTAGAACGATTCCGAGTCTTGTTCGTCTGCGTTTTCGAGTTTGACAACGAAAGAGGTGCCATCGCGTCCACCAAGGTCGAGGTCGAGGAATCCATAGTCTTGCCAACCGATCCAACCGGTTTTCTTGTTAATGTAGTAGGCTACATCCGCCGCTTTCACTCGCAGTCCTTCAATTTCGAGGTAAAGAGAAGCGTCAAAGTTGGATCCGAACGAAGAACGACGTTGGTCGAGCGTGAGATCGTTGCGGTTGATGATGCGAACTCGGTCAGGGACGAAGGAGGCGGTCGAGGCGGTGAGGGAGAGGTCGTCAATGACAACATCGGCTTCGCGCGAGATGAATTCGATACGAGGCAAGGGGATCGATTGGATCTCGTTGATGAGACGAGGAATGAACACTTCCACTGTATCCCTGACCAATCCACCAGCCGAATTACCAAGATCGGCAAAGAGGTTAAAGACACCCTGACCATGCGAGTTCAAGATACGTTGCAAGTCGATAAAGTTGACATCGCTACCCAACTTCTCGATCCTCTGAGCAAGCTCGCGCAACTCAGCATCGTCCTCAAGACCTTGAACAAAGTGGGAAATCTCGTCCAAGCTGTCATCAAAGTCACCTCTCAGCTTCGAGACTTGCTTGTTAGCTTCCTTTCCAGTAGCGTTGAAGAGTTTCTGAGCTCGGTCGTAAAGGTCGGAAGCCATACGGTTGGATCGGTTGGATTGGATGAATCCATCCTCGTTCAAAGCACGGTCGATGAACGATTTGACATCCTCGATAAACTCGCCGAGTTCCTTGCTCTCCTTGGACGTCTCGTTGTCGTAGATTTCCTTGGCGTGCTCGAGGAGACCGCTGACCGATCTTTCGACAGGTTCGAGCGAGCGGCCTGCAAATGTTTCGAGGATTTCCTTGAGCTGTTGGAAAGCTTCACGGAGCTTCTCGTTTGCTTCGGCTTCAGGAGTGTCAATGTCGATATCGGTCTGCTCTTTGGCCTTGGCAGCGACATCCTGGACGATATCGGTCCACTTGTTGGCGATACGGTAGATACCGTTCAGCGCCTCCTTGAAATCAGGGTCGCGCTCGACAGCATCGATGATCTGCTTGACACGTTCGAGGAACTTATCCTTGACATCATCAGGAGTCTGCTCATCAAGCCACTTGGTAGCCTGTTGAACCTGACCGTGCAAGTTGTCCTGGGCCTGCTTAGCACCTCGCTTAGCCTGCCCCTTGGCCTGGTCGAGGTCCTTCTTGTTAGGAGCCCGGATTTCGACGGCATCACCGCGCTTCTTACGCTCCTCATCACTGGGACGAAGCTTGCTCTCAGCGCCACCGGCCTTCTGAGCGGCAGTAGCAGCAGCATCAGCAGTCAAATCACGAAGTAAGAACTGCACATCGGCAAGCAAGTCACGGAAAGCTTTGCTAGTCAACAATAGCGAACCGATCTGCTGCATCTCACCCAAAGCCTTGCGAGAGTCTTCCTTGGCTTGGTTAAGCAATCCATCGGCACCAACAGAGGAAGCGGTGGGGAGTTCAGTCGAGATGCCACCTTGGTCAGTGACCTTAACGGAGGCTTGCGAAGTCTGGTAGATGAATTTTTGGATCTTGTCATCGCCGTTCTTGCTCTCGCCGATGCGTTCGATGCAGGCCAAGATGCCCTTGATGTCTTGAACGACTTTGACACCTTGCTGGCTGAGCTTGGTGGAGCCGGCGACGTTGCGTTCGTCGAGGACAGGGCTGGACATGATTGCCTCGATGAACTGGTTGAGCTGCTTCTGACTGGGTAGCTTGCCGGCTTTGACGGCACCTACCATCTGAGCCATGCGGGCAAGGGTCTGGCGAGAAGGCGCCATCTGACGAGCTTGCTCTCCGAGGTTGTCTGGGTCAACGCCATATTGGCGAGCGGTGGACTTGGCATCACGAGCAGCTTGGGAGCCATACTGCTGGACACGCTCGCGAGCCTGTTTGGCGTGGGTGGGTAAAAGAGGTTCGCGTTCGGACGACATTGTGACGAGACTTGGCTAGGGGGGGGGGGGGGGGGGGCAGGAGAGAATGCAGTGCTACTGAATCTGGGGTTTACGTGAAGAAAGCTGAACGGTTGCAAGGGAGGGATGCGTTGATACTGGAGCTGATTATGGTGTCGTGTGCGGCTGGCTTGGCTTGGGGGAATCACGTCCGACGGTAGAACAGCGAGGGGAGGCAGGCGACAACGTAGACAGTGCCGACCGACTGGAGCCTTGTATATGTACTCCGGAGCAGCTCATCGGCCAAGCATGCGACGTCTGGGTCTCAGACGAAAAGACAAAAAGGGCTCGTCATGGACTCGGACAGACACCAATCTGAAGGCTGAGGACCGAAATGCGGGACACAGTCAGAAAAGCGCAGACACAAAGCTGAACATCTGAGTGACGCCATAACACGGCACTGCAGGCCAACTGCGATGAACAAGGGTTCTCTTTTGTGCGGAGTCAAGCGTTCGTCTTGGCCTCGATGTTCAGAGCAAGAAGCCGAGGAGGAGCAACTTTGTCGGCCACTGGAAATGCAGACCTGTCGTCATCGAACGCCGGGAAAGCCAACCAGACCGACCAAAAGGGTTCTGCACAAGGCAAAAAGGGAAGCTCGCTTGCAAAGGAAAGTCTGCTGTCCTACCGAACAACTCAAGCATCTATCGGAGTCAGCACAAGAAAAAGCATGGGAAAGATCAGCTATTTTGGGCACCTCTAAAACGGGTCGGTTCGCATCTCGATGACGACGTTGTACCTCTGCTCGTTAGCCGTCGCCAGGCACGATCCACATCGGTCTCACTTTTCTCTCTTCTCGCTTGCGAAAGAGCCTTGAACCCCACACCAGACCCCGAATCCGCTCTCTAAGCAGGCATACTCCATGCTCTCCTCCTTTTGCGACTTTTGCGATCTTTGAATCTTGCACAGTTGAAGCGTTGCAAGAGCTGTGCAAGGGTTACACGAGCAAAGCAGAAGCAAATCCAACCCGGCTATCCGGCTATCCGGCTGTACTGTACCGGACCCACCAAGCAAATGAGAATGATCATGCAATTACAAATGCTGACACATCCAAGCAGCAGCTTCGATAGGTGCTGTTACTCAGCTCCTTTTAGGCGGGACAAGGGATGAGTGAGCATCGATCTGGAGCGATGCGCGCAGTTAAATCTTTAAAAGTAAAGACATTTTGGGTCCCGATAGCTGGCGATCGGGGATAGTCTTAGTACGATGTCACTACTCCCTTAAGGCAGAAACATATACTCAAATTGACTGAATCAATGTGGCGAGAGCCTAGTGCTCTCTGTGAGATATATATACAGTACACATGTAAACTGTCCCAAGATTTTACATGTCACCATACATCACTCTAATGCTCAATAGCTATAAGTTGTATTGCCACACTGTCTGATATCATCTGAAAGTGCTGCTTCTTCTCTCCAAGACTGTGGAATTGATATTGACATTGACTAAAAAAATTGTGCTATGAAGAAGAGCCGATTTTTTTTTTTATTGTGGGACAGTTTATGGAGCACTCCTTGAGAACACCTTAGTACTTTGTATTCCCTCCTTTGGCCTTCAGAACCACCTTGATGTGGTCTGGCATGCTCTCTATTAGTATCCTACATGTCTCTGGAGTGATTGCTTTCCATTCAGCTTCACATCTCTTGAGCAGTTCATCCCTGGACTTTGCAATTGTACTATACTGTGAAAGTTGCATTTTGAGATGGTGCCAGAGGTGTTCAATTGGGTTCAAGTCTGGTGACTGCCCTGGCCATTGCATAACCTTAATGTTATTGCCTTCCAACCACATTTTTGTCTTCTTTGACATGTGTTTTGGGTCATTGTCTTGCTGAAATGTGATGTTGGTGTATGCATGCTGAAGCCACAAATCCTGAGATTGTTTTCAAAAGCTTGTCATTCAGGATATCAATGTATTGGTCTGAATTCATTGATCCCAGCACCAAGTGTATACCTCCAACCCCTTCCCACATCATACAGCCCCAGATCATGATGGAGCCACTGCCAAACTTGACTGTTGGCCTGACAAGCTTGCTGTTGAAGCTGGCATTCTTAATCCAACAGAACTGCTTCCCATCCAGTCCAAAGAAGTTGATCTTTGTCTTGTTGGACCATACCACATTCTTCCAATCCTCAACAGTCATGTCCTTGTGCTCATTTGCAAATTTGAGATGCACTTTGTAATGCCTCTTGAGTAGCTTTGGTTTATTCACTAACCTTTGTGCTTTGTAATGACAGTAATGAAGTGCTTTTCTTACTGTCATTGGGCATGCTTTGATGTGAAATGTCTCCTGCAGTGCATGACATGCTTTTCTGACCATGGAGGTTGAATTGAGCTTGAAATAGTGGTCCAGGAAGTGAACATGATGAGGCTGGAGTTTTCTCAGCCAGACCCCCTTTGACTTTGGAGCATTGGTGGAGGCACTTTTGCTGATGCAAGACACCATAGACTTGCTCAGACCAAGTTTCTCAGCAACTGAACAGGTAGATTCTCCATTTTGGAGGTGAAAGAGTGCTGATCAGTGCTTCTTGGGAGTGGTTTTTGTCATGATGGTATAGATATGATGGTGTCAGACTGGAAGTGCTGCCAGATCACTCACAGTCATCTGATTGAGCTGAAACATTCCATGTCACTACTTTCAATGTGTATGAAGGTGTCCACCAAGTTACATTACAAGTTTTATTGTAGTCAAAAGCCCACAAGGTCAGGAATGGAGTGGTGTTGCTATTTGGGAGCATGCTCCATAAACTGTCCCACAATAAAAAAAAAAATTTAAATTTTGGCTCTTCTTCATAGCACAATTTTTTTAGTCAATGTCAATATCAATTCCACAGTCTTGGAGAGAAGAAGCAGTACTTTCAGATGATATCAGACAGTGTGGCAATACAACTTATAGCTATTGAGCATTAGAGTGATGTATGGTGACATGTAAAATCTTGGGACAGTTTATGTGCATACTGTATATCAAGCTGGGAGTGCCAGGCTCTCACCATGTTCACTTGGTCAATTGAGTATATTTGTTTCTGTCTAAAACTAGCAGTGACATCGTACTTAGACCCTAACCCGATCGCCAGTTATCGGGACTAAACTCCATCAGCCGAATGTAGGTGCATCCTATTTAATGACCAAGTATGACAACAAGCCGGGTCCAAGTTGTACCCGATTCTTGGTAAGATCGGCTTTGTCGGATCTCTGATGAGAACGACTCTGCCCGATCCCTCCCGTATCGTCTCATTGCAGCTTACATCATCATATTGGATTGTTACTTTCAGCACTCTCTTGTAGATTCTGTCGCTTCAGCGCTCACAGCAGGCATGGTTCAAGGGAAGAGCTTTTACTACTTGACATTCTTGAGCACAAGCGAGCCTTGGCATCACGAAACAAACAGATCAGTCAATTCAGACAAGGTTAGGAAACTGCAAAAAGAGCATTTCATTGAGAAAGAAAGCGGGATCATCGTGGTACAGGAGGTCCTAATCTACGTCAGAAACGGGAAGAAATTGTCAAAAGAAGTCGTGCGATCCATGTGAAAACAAAGGCAAGTCTTATGGATCATTACAAGCATGAAGCGCATCTATTTATGATACATTTATGCGCTAAATCATCAAGGGGGAGGAGTGTGCTCGTCCGAGTTGGCACCTTCAGAAGTAGGCGTCCCAAGGTTGGCGTGGTCGCCGCTCTTGCGGCCACCAAGGCTCTTCTCGATGTCATTGTTGTCGGAAACAATGTCGAGGTCCTCATTGATGAGGTGACCCTGCTTGTCATAGCGGCGGGGGGTGATCTTCTCCTTTCTGACAACGTCATAGGGATTGATCTTGCTGGAGTGAGCAAAGATGGCCGACATCTCCTCAAGCGAGCGGCCGGCTGTCTCTGGGAAGATGAAGAAGGTGGTCAGCAGGATTGCAAAGTTGAGTACGGCAAAAACGACATAGGTGCGAAAGCCGATCGATTCAAACATTATCGGCGTCACCATCACCACAAGGAAATTAAAGATCCAGTTGGCTGACGTCGAGATACCGTTGGCCTGGGCCCTGATCGCGAGTGGAGTGATCTCGGCGGGGTACAACCAGGTCATTCCAAGCCAACCCCAGGCGAAAGAGGTGTTGAAGAGGAAGTAAAAGACGACCGAGACGACGGCGGGAGCGGTACTTGCGTTCTTGATCGAGGCAACGTCCATGATGGCGAGGACAATCATGCAGATGCACTGACCGGCAGCACCACCAAGCATGAGAGGACGACGACCCATCTTCTCAATGAAAAAGACGGCGGCCCAGGAGGCAATAAAGTACTCGGTACCGTTGGCAGCGGCGAGGATACGAGAGTTGATGTCCGAGAAGCCGAGGTTCTCCTGAAGAGTCTTGCCAATGTAGTAGGTGATGAGGTTGATACCGGAGATCTGCTGGAACATCTGCGAGACGAAACCGAGGAGGGTACGGTGCAAGTTACGCTCGGGGCCGTTGGTGAAGAGGTCGGAGATCCTGGTGGTCTTGGCAGCGACGAGAGAAGCCTCAATCTCGCGGAGCTTCTTGCCGACAAAGGGGTCGTCAAGGGGCACATTGTCGAGGGCGGCAACAACGTTTCGAGCGTCATCGACACGGCCTTTGAGCATGAGCCAGCGTGGGGATTCGGGAAGGTAGATGGTGACAAAAGTGGGGAGGATGAGGAACATCTGGAGTACGATAGGCACTCGCCAAGCAGCCGAGCTAGGGTCGAGAAAGAAGCATCCAAGGTCGATCCAGTAGGCCATGGCGATACCGCCAGTAATCATGGCACCTTCTACCATGATAAGCATACCTCGCTTGTGGGGAGGCGAGCATTCACTCTGCCAGACAGGGATGGTGGCTGTGTGCATACCATTGCCGATGCCAAGAACAACACGGAAAACGAAAAGCTGAGCCAAGCTGTAGGAAGCAGTGCACCCAATAGTACCGATCGCCATGATGATGGAACCGATCCAGATGTTGGCCCTACGACCGAGCAAGTTACCAAGGTAAAGCATCGAGATGGCACCGAGAAAACAACCAAGCTCGTAAACACCGGTAACGAGACCTTGCAAGGTGGCGGCATTAGAAGTGGCGTCTGCGCCTTGGGTTGTGTCAATCTCAGGGAACTGAGCGACCCAGGATGGCAAAGTATAGAGCGAACCAAGTACACCCTGATCATAACCGAAGAGGAGGAAACCGGCCGAGGCGGCAAAGCCAATAGCCCAGTTCAACTTGATACCCCTGAGACCGATAAAGGTGGGGACCATATCGGTCTCAGGCCTTGCTTCTTTCAAGCCCTTCAAACCCATGGCTGTGCGATGCAAGTAATGTGGCTGTCAAGTATGAGGATGGCAGGACAAGTTGCAAGCAAGAGAATGGGAGAGAGGCGAGTAGGATAAGACTCGAAGAAAGCGAGGATGGAGCGCGGATGCTCGAAGTTCTGGTGGCGGAATGCGTGGTAAGGAGGGTGGTAGGGAAGGGAGAAAACAGCGCCAACAGTGGTTTATAAATCTCCAGAGAAAGGGGGCTCTGAGCAGGCAGGTGACGAGGAAAGCAAGATGGACCGGCAAAGAGGAAGGATGAGGCTTGTGAGCCACAAATGAAGCCAACGGCGGCGGGGGCCGAAAAAAACAAAAAGGGGCACAAAGGGAGAGGATTGCACTGTGCTCCGCTCATGAAGCGAGGCGGCTTTGTGCTGTTCTCAACTCAGTTGGCGGGGTTGAGGGACAGGCAGCAGACGAGACCCTGTAAGAACAGGGTGCCAAATCAACGCGAGACGACGGCCAAGAGGGAAGAGAGGACAACAGTGACGACTCTGGACAAGTGACGGCTCTGGACAAGTGAGCATGTCAAACGATACTGCGACTGAAGATGCAAGGGCACTTTAGCCGAATGAGGGGAACAGAAGAGAGAGACAGAGAGACAGAGAGCGAGGGCAAAAGCGGAGGAAGAGAGGGGCCATCAACACGAGAGCAGTAACCGAGTCGCGCCGCGATCAAGTCGCATGTCAGATAGAAGCACAATGGTCACACCCCTTGTCCAGCCGACCCTCGGACCCACACTTTGTCTCTTTCTTCCGGGGAGCGTGTGACGGCCAAAAGTCGATCAACGCCTTCCTGCGCTGTCTTAGCTCACCGACTTGCGGGCCCACCGCATTCTAAGTGTCACACTTCAACCCCGCCAATTCAAGCGTTTTGTTAATCAAAATCAAAATCAAAATCAAAATCAAAATCAAAATTAAAATCATACTTTTATTATTTTTAAAAAAGGAAAAAAGAAAAGAAAAAGAAAAAGAAAAAAAAAAACCCCCCCCCCCAAGAACAAAGAGCAAGCGCTGCACTTTGTGGGCGACTGGCGGCAAGAGAATCGGTCCGCAGAACGACGGCTTGATCGGACTTTGAAATCGGACAATTTCAAGGTGAAATGACATGGTCAAATTGATTTCTTTCAAATCCTCCGCAGTTCCCCTCCGCTCTTCTGGCTTCTCACGACCTCGACGATGGTCGACGCATCAAGCCCGCTTCAACGGTGCCGCCTTGGCATAGTCGCCTCTCTTTTCCCGGCTCTTGAGCACAACATTGCTCCGACTTCTCTTGGCTCTCCTCTCGGCTGTCAAGAGGCTCGGCCGGACTGATTGCGATCAACCATCGGAAGCGTCGACGGCGTCAGCATGCAATACCCAAACCGAGGCTCAGCATCAGTCTATCCATACAACCAAGTCGGAGACAGGATTCGGTAGCTTCCCCGCGAAATCCCACTTCTTGCCACGCTCACCGCCCTTGCACCGTGGGAGACTAGCAAGGCTCGATAGCGTGTCCTACACGATCTATTCGCTTACCTTGACAGCACTAGCTTCTATCAAACGCTTGGCAATCAGCTCTACCACAGCCCAGCTCGAATATCGGGCAAGGTTGCGAGTCAGTGCGACCTTGGGACACTATACGCTTAGTTAAGGCTTGCCCTATCACACTTCCGAGCCGCCAACCCTTCATGTGTGTATCCGGTAGGGTTTTTCTTTGTCAGCCCGCGACCGAATTCGCCCAAGGCTCAACTCCAAGCGCAACCGAAATCTGGCGTATTTTCGACTCTCACCCACCTCCCATCTAGGCATTGTGCGGAGAGAATGCGGGGAAAAAAGTGCTCTTCTTCTTTCCAATTGTCTCTCTGTGAAACCTGTTTCTCAGCCTCTCTACCTCGCATCGACACTCGCGTAATACCACGATGCTTGCCCCGTCAAAGAAGCAGCAAGCCGTACAGAGCAATGCTCCGGGTAATCAGGGACGTGCCGGCGGGGCACAATCGAGCTCTTGGTGAACAGCTCGCCATCTGAACCCAACTTTTGGTGGTACTGTACAGTACCCCTGTACTTGCTGCCGATGGTCTTGGACTGAGCCACAAGATCTTCTTTCGAATCGCTTGTGCGTTCTGCACAGCATGGCGCGCACCCGAGACCTTGTTTTTTTTTTTTTTGTTTTTTTTTTTGTTTTTCTTTTGTTTTTGTTTTTCTTTTTTTTTTTTTTTTTTTCTCCTGACAACAGAAACCAATGAGTTTGAATGCCAGATGAGGATGAGAAGCATGAACAAGCTGCAGAACAGACTCGCTAAGCTAGCTGAACCTGAATCCACTGCCGATATGCTTGCAGCAAGAGGCTTCACAAAAGCACCCTCGAATTTTTTGGTATTTTCTTCCTTCGGGACAGAGTGGAGCCACAGTCTACCATTCGTGGAGAACAATACTGGCTTTGAATCGTCTCGGCGCATTTGAGATGATTCTACCGCGGCTGTCTCTTGATGCATCTCGTAAACAATACGCGGATGGTAATCACGTGACAAAAATCACGTGATGTGATCCATGGTCAGAGATTCTGCCAAGTCATCGTGCAGCTGCAGAACGCTTCTCTCCAATTGCCACCATCCTCGCAGCTGCTCGCTTAGCAGAATCTCACTGTCTCTTCAAGTGTTTCTTATAGGTTCCTCCACACCCCCAGTGCCCCTCGGCTAAAGCCTTCATGATGGCATTGAATGTTCAAGGGGTCTCGCCAAGGGATCTCTTCCTCGAAGCACCTCAGGAGCCGCTCCAACCTGAGATGCAGCTGCCACAGGCACTGGCCCCTCAACCATCCAAATGCGTCTGCACTCGCTGCCACAAGAACCTTCCCATCAGTCAGTTCCTCTCTCGGAGCCAGCCCAACACCATCACCCTGTCCTGCACCACCTGCAGGGCCCATCACACAGCTAGCTACAATGCACGAGACCAGCACATTTGCATGACCCAGGCCACCTGAGCCACCTCGTTCGTGTCCTCCGTTGCAACAGCCTCTGTCACTCCTGGCTCCCCCACAGGGCCAGCATGCATCTCGGCCCCAGATCCCACCCCCGACCCAGGGCTCGACACCAACTTTGTCATGACAACGTCACTGCTCGAAGTGCAGCTGCAAGGGGTCACTAACGCCATCACCTCTTCAGTCATGGGTCCCCTGCGCAGCCTCGAGCGCCAGGTCGCCTCGTTAGCAGCAGCAGTGGCAAGCAGACTGCCACCTGCCCTGACTGCCACCCCCATTCTGACTCCTGCAGCACCACACCTCCCCTCCCCTGCCATCAGCTTCAATGTTGCCCACCAACACTCTGCCAGCACCTAACAACCCTGGTGAGTCATCTGTTCGTCGCCTCTTCCCTTGGATTCCCACTGAGACCATCAATGCAGTCTACAAGGACCTCCTGTGGCCCAGCAACCTGAGCAAGCTGCACAACATGACTGCAGCCATGCCCAGTGGGGAGAAGGTGACCCTCTCCTTGGGCACATACAAGCTCGCCCTCACTCTCCCTGCCCCAATGCCCTCCACAAAGACCTTCCTCAAGGCCATTCCCAACTTGGTCTCCTTCTGCCAAGCCTGGATTGTCTACACAGCTCTGTGTGCTGTGGCCTCACCTGACTGCATGCTAGGCCCCACCCTGGCTGGGTTCCTGGTGCATGTTGCTGAATTGGACCAACACTTTGACTGGACCTACATTGCCAACTACATCCTGACAGTTTGTGAGAAGAGATTTGGCCATGCTGACATGGACACCTGGTCCCGCCACAACAGGGAGGCATTCCAGGACAAACTCTCAATTGCACCCACCAAAACCCCCAAGACCACAGCTGCTCCCACAGAGCCAAAGAGGGTGGGCACCAACAACATGGTGTGCCTTTGCTGGAACAACAGCACCTGCACCAGCAACTGTGGCTGGTCCCACACCTGTCTGGTTTGTGGCACAAAGAACCACCCATCTCATTCCTGCCAAAACCTCACCAAGTTCAAACCCTCTCAGCCCTCATCGGTTGCAGCTGAGACTGCCAGCCAACCCAACATCAAGGCGAGAGGCACAGCATAATGGTCTTGGCAGTGCTAGGTGAGTACCAGCCTAATCACCCAGCACCAGTTGAGACCCAACCAGGCCACCATCCCAGGAGGACCCCAGTACAATTTTCCTCTCCCCCCCAGCCCCCCAGCGACCTGTAACAGTCACCTCCTCAACCCCCCGGCAACCTATCACAGTTTGCCCCCCAACAGCGCGTGGACCTATCATGGTCCTCCAGCCTATCACAGCTGCGCATCCAGCCACGAGGGCAGCACGCCCCTCTGACTTGCCTATCACAGCAACTGCACCTATCACAGCTCTCAGGCCTATCACGGCTGCCCCACCTCCCTGGTCTATCACGACCCTCCCCTCCACCCCAACCACTCTGCACCCCCCCCCCCCCCCCGTGACGGTGCCTGCCCTCCACCACCGTTGGTGCGGCACCAGCCCCCACCTCACTCAGCCTCCGCTGTCTTTGACCTATCTGAGGCTGACACTTGCATGCACCTCCTCCTGCAGGCCAACCGCAGAGCCCCCGCACCCTGACCAAACACCGCTATCACAGCCCCAATCTTTGCTGATGATGATGTTCCAGCCTGCTGGGGATTGATGCAGGAGAGAGCTCCAGCTTGGCAGCACCTCCTAGCACACTACCCAGACACCGAGGTATGATGCCAGCTGCTGGGTGGAATCTCCCATGGGGTGTGCATTGGCTACGAAGGCCCACTGCGCACAGTTGGCAGGCCGTCATGCAACCTTCCCATGGACACCGCAGGCATCGCCCACATACGCCATGAGATCAGCACACGCCTTGCTGAGGGCTGTTGTCAGGGGTCTCGCGCCTGAAACCCAGGTCGGTCTGTCGAGATACTCGGTGACTATCAAACTGTGTGGCAGCTATTGTCTCAGTATTGGTGACTATCAAGTTGCACAGTGACAGCAGGTGGCGTTCGTTGTATATACTATC